TTAAATCTTTTAAAGTATTCTTACAAAAAAACACTTTTTGAAACAAAACATAAACCCTAAAATTTTTACCAAAAGGTAAGACTTCCTTTCAGCCTACAGAACTTATAATTCCTTCAGTTTTGTGACCTATGAGTTGAAAGTACAGCATCTTACCTCCTACATTTGTATATACTCAGATATCCCTTAGGTCCTATGAGCTTTAACCTGTTCATAATGTCACTGGTTATATGATTATTAGAAAACACAAGATATTAAAAACTGATGACCCTACAGATACAAATCTCCTTGTTAAATCACAATAGTAACAAAGAAAGTTACCTACAGCAGGAAGTTACCTGTAGCCAGAAAGGTAATTTCTTTCAGTATGACTTATTTTATAACAGTACTCTAGAACATGCCAAATTTAAAACTATAACCTCTAAAACTAAAAAATCAAACTAGAAACCTTGATGTGAATCCAGACAGTAGCAAAACTACTAAAAGAACTATTTCAAGTGAAAAGTGAAAGCTCTATAATTTGAGTGTATATCCTTAATGAGGTATACCTTCCCTAAGGAAAAAGAGAGTAAATGGGGGATGGGGGGAGCTTTTAATCATTCTAGGTTGTGGTCTTTGTATTATTATCCTGACTGTGATGTGCAAAGTTTGAGATGAAGCAGCAATTTTAAGTTGACAGTTTAGTTTTTTTTACTCTAATGTCCCTGAGAATTAGAATTCTCATAGCACAAAGATCTAGATTTAAGACAGAAGACCTAAAAACCTGGAAATCCTAAATTTGAATGGGAAGAAACAATAATGATAGTGATGCATTTTATCTTAAAAACAAAAATGTTAAATGTGTATTTTCATAAGTCAAAGTCAAAAGGTCAAGGGTTGTATGTTTTCTTATATGTGGAAGTTACAGGAGAAAAAGGAAAAGAAAGGTAGGGGCAGATCTCATGAAAATCAAACGGAGATCAGTAGAGGAAAGGGACCAGTAGGTTGGAGGCAGAGAAAGAAAGGGGAAAGTGATAGGAAGTGACATTGGCCAAATTATATTGTTATATTGTATGCATGTACAAATATGAAACAACAAATCCCATCATGTACAACTATAATACACCAATAAAAAATGTGAAAAAAAAGCCGTGTATTTTAAAATTCTATCCACTGAAAAGCAATGACCAATCTAAAAGCAATAAACACCCCAATTATCCACTATTCTTTAGGGAAATGGATGGCTTCAAGTTTGGGGCAGGAAATGTACAGATGCTCCTAGAACACCTTGATGTATGAACGGTAAGGAGACAATAACAGCTAGTAGTGTCATAGTGATAGGAGCAATGAGTTAAATTAAAAATGGGATAATGTGAACATCAACAAAGCTAAAACTGTAAAGGTTTGAAACATCAAGTATGTTAAAATTCATGGGTTCATGTTTTATAAAAGAACTCATCACTGTTGATAGGTACCAATGAAATGACTCATTCTGTAAAATCAGGCAAATAAAGGAAAAACATCAAATATTTGTCATGTCTTTCTTACACAAATGACACCCCTGAGTAACCAAATATCAGGAGTAGTATCTCCCTTTAGAAAAGTATTCCAACTTATAAATGAAGAAGGAAGAGAGAATTAAAACATCACTATTCAACCTCTAGTTACTAAGTGAAAAATGAAGCATCAACTGCTATTAAAATGTCAAATAAAGCAGCCAGACATCTTGTGCCTCTTGATGAGGAAGACCACTTGAAGCAGTTCTACCGAAAGAAAAAGAGCCAAATTCTAATGAAGTGTCCATATTCAACTACCAACCTATAAGTGCAACAGAGGACAAGAAATGTGTTAAAGGGATTATAGGGTTGCAATCATCAAAATCCAGAGCACAGGAAACCTATCAACAGTGTTTCTCAAACTATGTGCTGGGTCATTTTTTTTTTTTCTCCCCAATTTTTAATCCATTGCAGACTAATGCTTTTGTAAAACACACAAAATGAAATTAAAAATCCCCACAAAACAATGCAAATTTAAATTTTTAAAATTGTTAAGAGTCAATGGAGAGACATAAATCACCATTAAAATGCTTATAAACAATCTCAACTTATGTTCTTAAATCAAATAACATAATAACTAATAACAAGTTTGTGGGTTGTTCCTGGACCCAAAGACCTCCTATCCACCCTCCCCTCTCCCCTCCCTGCCCCCCAAGGCTGGAGATTGAACATAGGTCCCTGTGCATGTTAGGCCTACAATCTATCACAGAGCTACACCTCCAGCCCCAAAGACCACATTTGATGTAGCTTCTTTGTAGAACCAAATAACAAGTTTCTTATCCAAATAAATTACAAGGAGAGAGAGAAGAATCTATATTTTATACTATATAATTTAAAAGACATATCAGCTAGCACAATGTATGGTCCTTATTTGAATGTAGATTGAGATACAATATTAAAAAAAAAGCAAAACACACACATACAAAAGTTGAAAACCTGAACTGAATTAAGTAAGGAATATTTTTAATGATATTGGTTACATTTAAAAGAATCTTGGGGGGTTGGGGTTGGGGCTCAGTGGTAGAGCGCTTGCCTAGCACATGGAAGCACTGGGTTCGATCCTCAGCACCATATAAAAATAAATCAATCAAATAAAGGTATTGTGTCCTTCTGCAACTAAAATATATATATATGACATAGTTTCTTTAAAAAATAAAAATAAAAAAGAATCTTGGGGGCTAGGAATTTTGCCTAGGATTTGAGAAGCTCTGGGTTCAATACCTAGTATCTCCAAAAAAGGAAAAATGAATCCTTTTAGAAACACACAATGAAACATTTATGGGTAAAATATCATGCTAAGATTTACTTTAACATAATACAAGAGAGGTAGTGAGAAATATACACATACTCACATATATCTTACTGGCCTTGAGTTAATAATGGTTGAAACTCAGTTCAGTATGAAGATATACTGGATAAATTATTATTTTTAAAATGTTTGGTATTTTTTCCTCAAATAATACTAAAATAAAAAATTTCAGCTTTAGAAACTTAACTCCCCATGATTAAAAAATAAATAAATAAATAAAAAGGAGAAGTTTTGGAGAGGTAGGTTTCCACAGCATTCCATAATAGGAAGTGGAATAAATTCCAAAGCTTTTATAGAGGTCATGTTGAATGCCACCTATTTTGCTTTGGTATCTAGTTGATGAAATGACAGAAACCTATAAAGAAGATTGCAATCCAAATTACACCCCTCAATCCACTAATAAGCAGAAACTGCTATACACATGCATATTTCATGTGTAGTATGACTAAAGGAAGGAGGTATTTCAAGGTTTTCTGAAAACATCAAGAATTGGAAAACTATATGCAAAGAATGTGCTTATTTTTTTTAAAAACTTCACAAAAAAACTTGTACTGGAAGCCCCATGATAAAAAATAACCAGCATTAAATGCAAGAAGCAGCAGAGAGGAATATCATTTATCAGTCACTAGGATGAAACAAAAAAAAAAAATCTGTATAATTTTTATGCTTTAGAAGTTCCTTTTATTCGAGTGTAGAATAGCAATTCCAAGAAAAAATAGCTTTTTTCCAGATAATTACTCAGAAGGAAATAAAAAAGAGTGAAAGGAACTTAAGCTTGTAACTTCTCTGGATGCAAAAATTCCAAAAGCAAGTCCAGTATAAAAGATTCTCATTCACTCTGATGATTTAGATTGAAGCATCTTATTCTCCAGCATTTTAATATCTCTTCTTCCCCCTATTACCTCATTCACCTATATGGGTTCTAATCCCAACAGACTCTTGCACTTCCCTCTACTCACTCTACTTCCTATCTGATATGTAGTCTTTTGTAGTGTTGCTGAGGCTGTGGCTAAATTTGAACTGAATGTACAGTGAGTTTGGAACTGCTGTTATTTTTGTTTTCATTTTTTTTTTTTTTGTGGTACTGGGGAATGAACCCAGATGCACTCTACCACTCTACAACATATTTGAGGCATTGTCTTCTTGCTAAGTTGCTGAGACTGTCCTAGAACTTGGGATCCTCCTGCATCAGCCTCCTGAGTCACTGGGATTAACAGGCATGTGCTATAGCACCTGGCAAGAAGTGCTGTGTTTTTGATCTTTATTCCACTTCTTGCTGGCTGTGGTGTAACTCCTGTGCTGTCATGGGAATAAGAGATCTAAAAAGTTGTTTTGTTGCTATGGTTTCTCTCCATTCAGTCTCTATTATTATCGGGTACATTCTAAGGAATCAAATACTAAAAGAATTTTGAAGTATAGCCTAATCTAAAAATATACAGTACAGGATTATGTCCAGCACCTTCTAACAATCCACTTAATTATTTTTGTTGCTGTACCAACTTTTTACAAACATACTGGATAATAATCTAAAGGGTTTTAAAATCATCTGTAAAAGTTCACAGAAAGTAAAGGCTGCTCCTCTGTAGGTTCAAGCTAATAATGACTTGAGAGGTACTACTTTGAAAAGCTCTTGGCAGAAATAGTTTTAACAGAAGCAGAAGCGGGGGCGGGAGGGGGGGGACGCGGGGGGATGAACACATTTAAAAATTACAGCAAACCGGGCATAGTAGCACACGCCTGTAATCCGAGGGACTCAAAAGGCTGAGGGAGGACTGCAAGTTCAAGACAAGCCTCAGCAACTTAGCGACCCTGTCTCCAAACAAACAAATAAATAGGGCTGGGGATATTGCTCCGTGGTTAAGCACCCCTGAGTTCAATTCCCAGTACCAGTAAATGAATAGATAAAATTAAAGCAATACTTTATTCAAAACTTACGTAGGTCAAACATGATATAATTTAATTTTATCTAGAAAAATTGAGCATTTAAAGAAATCTTTGACCTGTAATACATGGATGGATGAAACAAGGTTAAATACTATCATGATATGACTTCCAGTAATATGGGAAAAATTCCCAAACTTCCCAAATCCCAAGGGTTGTAGAACCACCTTATCTGCAATCAGAAGCAAGTTTTTAATAAATTAACCACAAACACAACATTTTAAATATACAGTAGGAACATTTATTTTAACACCTCTAAAAGACATTTCTCCATGCCTGATGATTTGATATAAAAATCAAACACATCATACTTTCCCCATCAGTCTCTCTACATCAAGGGCAATCAGAAATTTATACAACATGAATATTTGCTTCTGAAACAAAAATTACAAATTAAGTGATAACAAAAATACACAAATCAACTGGACCCTAAACAAATTTCTAATGAATTCTTTTCCCTTTCTCCCAATCACCTAGAGCTTCTTTCTTCAGCCTCATTCTGCTCCTTTTCCTTTCTTTGCTTGGCCATGAATTTCTGCGAAAGCAATTTACAATATGAAATACTTATTAGATATTATTTTCCTGTGTATGAAAACCTTTCTAATGTATTTCATTGCATTTACAATTTAAAAGTGCCCAACTCTAAAAACGATTACAAACACAGTGCTTTATATTAGTATTCCTTCTTTTCATTCATCAGTCTTATGATATTTTATATATACCAAGCTTTATGCTTGGTGCTTGAAGATTCAGTGACAACAAAGTAAGATAAGCATTGTATACAATGGAGCTTATATTCTAATTAGGAAAGACAAATGATCAAAGAAAAAAAATAAATGAAGTAATTTGGGGTAAGTAGTAAGCACTCTAAAATTATAAGAAGGCAACTGATTAGGTTGACCTTTTGTGGGGAGGGGTTAAGCTGGAATGTCCTACTTTAGCTAGGTCTTACTTAAGCAAAGTTCTTTCTAAGGAGCTAATATTTGAGTTGAAACCAAAAATAAGTGAAACTGAGAAGAGGCAAAGAAATAGCATTGTAAAGGTGTAAAACTGGCAAGGAGCCCTCATGTATAAAAAAAAGAAAAAAGAGCCAGATATAGGGCTGGGGATATGGCTCAGTGGCAGACTACACTTGGGGGGTTCAATCCCCAGTACTACAGGAAAAAAAAAAAAAGTCAAACAGAGAGCCAGAAAAGTTGGGATGAAGTCAGTAATAAAAAGCTGAGTTCAGAGAAGTTTAAAAGTCAGATCAGGTAGGGCTTTATGGACTCACAATAAGAAGTTTAAATATTATTCCAAATGCCATATTATGCAGTTGGGTTTTAAATGGAAAACTACACAATAAAGTTGAAAGCACAGGGAACATAAGTAAAATGTATAAGGGTTTGAGGCTAGAATAAAACAACTAGGTCCAAATCTTATGTCTGCCACTAACTAGTTATGTAACCTTGGGTTTAGAAATGTAATCCTGAGTCTGGGTCTTCATGTCAAAAGCTGGAATAACATTTGTCTTTTAAAGTTGTTGAGGGGATTAAATAAGCTTTCAGCACATAATAGTTCAGTGTTTGATGAGTGTCTATAGCACAAATTCAATAGAAAGTACATGTAAAACAATCTCAAACATTCAGGAGGAATCAGAACCACTGCTTTAATGGCTAAGAATGATTCTCTAGAGCAGTACTGCCTAAACATGTAAAACTTTAAAAAGAGGGCTTTGTGATCAATCAATTTAGGAAACTGCATTGCATAAACTTAAGCAGGATACTTTCTGGCTAGCAATTCAGGAAAAAAAAAAAAATTCCCCATATGTTTTTTGTTGGAAGAAATGTTAGTTTGCTAACATGTACATGACTTTGTAACAGGGCATCAAAATATGCAGTTTCTTTTACTTTAATGGAGTGTCACGTGAGACTATTAATCTGCAGAATCTACTCTGGCAAATGCTATTGTTGGAGGAAAAGAAATAAGGGCTAGAAGCTGCTGGCAAGGTATAGTGAGGGAGAAAATAGGATTTTGGACTTAGATGAATAAACTAGCAAGAACATCCACAACAGTTCTCGCAAAAGGGAAAAAAATGTACATTTTGGGTAGATATTTAACTAGTTCAATTACAAGACAATAACATCACCTGGAGATTGTAAGAGTTAATAATTAGAAATTACCTCTGTATTTTGCTTATGACGAGTACTCTTGCAGTGATTTGTCATTGCTTTTTCACCTGAGTAGAAGAGGGAACAAATTGGACAGAAGAATCCAGCCTTCGGTACAAGAAAATCTAAATCTTTAAGATAAAAGAGTTGAGAAGAGAAAGGAAGAAAATTAATAATGTACTAACAGTTATGTCAGTTTATCCAAACATTTTAAGCATAGTATATATACTTATATACAAGGATAGTAAACACTTCTATATACTGTGAGATCAAGAGCAATAACTTTAATTATAAAACATTTTTTTTTTAAAGAAATTATTATCAGGTACAGTAGCAAATGCCTGTAATCTCAGAGATTTGGGAGACTGAGGCAGGAGAATCAAAAGTTTAAGACCAGCATCAGCAACTTAAAGAGAACCTGTCTCAAAATAAAAAAAGACTTAGGGATGTAACACAGTGGTAAAATGCCCCTGAGTTCAATCTCCAGTAACAAAACAACAACAACAAAAAAATTTCATTCTCAGGAATGCCAGAATTCCACTTAAGTGGTATAATGTAAACTGAATAGTTTCCCATGGAGAAGGCTGGATTAGAAAGAACATTCAATTATCCTTCAGAATAGAATCTGACAGAGTCTAAAATAAAAAATTTTAGGAATACCCTGATAAAACAATAAAAGAGAGAAGAGGCAGAATGATAGGTGATTGCTTATGGAGTGTACAGGCTGAGCAAACAAGGTTTACCTCATATGGTCCTGAAAAAAGTTTGCAAACTTAACTTTTCTGCATGTTCTACCTAACTGGAGTTTCTGCCAGGGCAAGTATAACTCAATTCTCCCCTCAGCAGCAAAGAAAGCACCAGAAATAAAACAGGAAACATATATGCCAGACTTTTTAAAAGAGTGCAATAAAAATATTCCTGCCAGGTTAAAAAACAGCCTACTTTTTAAGCTGTCTTCAGAAGTAACAAGCAAGGTTACTCAATAATTCATTTAAACAACAGAACAAGTATTATGGTGCAGACATTTCACTTTACCTTCTGGGACATCAGGTGCCACTGATTTGCCTAAAGATGGGTCCTCAGTCTTCTTGCGTTTTCGATCTGGTTCTGAATCCTTTAATCCAGATTCTTCATCAACTAAAGTCATTAAAAATTTTCAAGGAAAAAAGGAAGCTATTCAACATAGATTTATAGACTTTGTGAAGTTAATGTTGGATAATCCCTACCTTAGATGACTAAAACTCAAAGAAACTCTTCCTTGGTTAATACCACCTGACTATTCTGCATATACTATTCTCTAGATTGTCTGATGTCAAAAAAATATATGGGTAAATCTGTTTAGATTTATTAAATGCATTTAGAGGTAAAGGGCCAAAACTAACAGAAAATTTTATTTACATATAGTTTCAGAAAAAACTTACAGGGGAACAAGTAGGACTGTAGTTCTGGGAAGAGTTAACTTGTCTATACAAGGTGCTGGGTTGAAGAGTTAAGTGGAAATTAGGGGAAAGGATATACCGGCAGAGAATAATTCTGATGCCCCTCCAACCTAGAAAACTGAGCCTAAATTGATAGCCTAAGAGAGAATTAAAAGTGATATTATGAATATGAAAGCTCAGCAGAGTGAATAACCTCTAATGGACTGTGTACAGTACTAAGGGCCAGCTGAGATAAGACTCAAAAGAACTTGGACTGACTCATGGTTGATAATTTTTCCTTAGAGAAAAATTTAAAACAGAAAGACTACACTTATTGCTCTAGTAACAATACTTAAATTGCTTTAAATTAAACATATTAAATTGTTTGAATAGCAATTTCAACACCTTTATTTTTAGCAAATAATATTCAAAGCTGAGAAGGAACCCTATTTCTAATATAACATAGAACAAGGAGGCAAGGAGGGCACTGCAAAGAGAATAATGGTAAAAGGGATACCTTATAGTGTTGTTTTAAGTCATACTGGTAATAAATTCCCAGATATCAGGAACTTTGTGTTCTTTTCTACACTTTTCAGCATTTTATCCAATATAATGGACACAAAGCCACATACTTGTTGAGTGAAGTATTCTCCCTTGCTGGATACTGTTCCTTTTTTGTTTCAACTTAAATTTTATTGATGTTATTCAGACATTTTGTTACTGGCTGGCTGCTTGGAAGCATTAAAAATAGACAATTGCCTGATGCTACAACATGGTCAGAAGAACCTTTTATAGATCATTTCTACAAATATATCTCATCCTAATTTCAATGGTCCATTATCTCTAAATTATGAAAATAAAAATTGTATCTGGACCTAATAATCCTAAACCTGCCATTTCCCACTCCTGTTCTATTTTACTGCTTTCTACTTAGATGGTAATCTTTGAAATTTTTACCACCATCTCATGCTATGTAACTCTCTCCACATCCTAACAATCCTGCTTTACCTTCACTAATTTGGAAGGCCTCTTCACCTTTTGCTGATTCTGTTGCAACAGCTTTTTCTAAGAGTGGTGCTTTACCACCAATTCTAATTCTCTTCATTGGTGTTTTAGCTTTAAAACAGAAAGACTAAATTTACTGCTCTAGTAACAATATTTAAATTGCTTTAAATTAAACATATTAAATTGTTTGAATAATAATTTCAACACCCTAGTTTTTAGCAAATAATACCCAAAGTTGAGAAGGAACCCTATTTCTAGTATAAAATAGAAGTCATTTAAAAAATATTCCTTGTAGTTAAAACATCCTCCTACATTCCCTTTTATCATGTTCCAAACAACTCTTCTTCTCTATCTTCTTTACTTAAGGTGGCTATACATATTTTTCTAATTTGCTACATAAGCCTGTGGAGATCTTCCTATTATTTTATTCTTTGGTTTAAATCTTCCCTGATCTTCTTTAATGGAAATTATTTATCTCCTTCAAGTCCTACAAGTGAGCTGCTCTATTATTCTAAACCATCAAAATATTAAAGTAAAATTGTACATTATTGAATTGTTCTAAATCCTAAATTTAAACAAAATCTGGGTAGCAGCGTGGTATAAACATCCTTCTGATCATCAAAAGCTGTTTTGCCCACAATGTAAATAGACCATTATCATTCCAATTCTAAGTTGGCTATACTAGCTTGTTTTCTGTTTTTGACAACCTTTCCTTAGAGCAAGTTCTGGTCTATAACTAAGAGAAATATGTGAAATCTGTACACATTTCTGTGGAAAATATTATTTGCTGGCTTACTATATTGATACAGGATGAAATTATTGGTAATGCCACAACATATAGTCTAAAATTAATTTTATATATAACCCTTTCATAAAACAGGAAAACTACCACTTCCAATAATCTACCTGCTAAGTGTCTTTCAATCATGGTTTTCAGATCTTCTGAAACATTCTCATTTACTGGACCCATTTGGGACAAGGCTTCAAGTTTTGTCTTCTTTGTGTCCATGGCTCTCTTCTTTCTATCTCCTCTTTTATCTAGAGGACCATCATTTTTGCTTTGTGCTAACTCAACTTTTAAATCACTGTCTCCATCTTCCTCCTCTCCAACTTCATCAACAGTAACAAAATTAAGTTCTTCTTTTAGATTGTTAAAATCAGCCAGAGAGTCTTCATCCTCTTCAGTTACTTCATCCAAAGTCACTAAATGCAAATCACTGCTGTCATCCTGTATTTCATCTACAGTGACTAAAGTAGAAGGGTCTTCAGGCATCTGAGAAGAAATGAACCCAATGGAATCCTTTACAGGATTTCCTTCATCTCCTTTAGCATTTAAAGTGGCAAAAGTTATGTCTGCTGACTCATTTAAAGGTAGCTCTTCTACTTCTCCAATTTCATCCACAGTTACCAAGCGTTCTTGTTTGAGAAGATCTTGTTCTTCAGCCACTGTTAGAACAGTAACATCTTTTGGTTCACTGTGGGAAATGCAATCATCCTGGTCAATTAATTCATCTAATGTAAGAAGTGAATTTGAATTTTTTACCATTTCTTCCATATTTAATTCTTCTTCATCAATTACTTCATCCACAGTGACTAGAGCTTGTGCAGCTGCATCTTCCTCTTCCCCAATCTCATCCAATGTTACAAAAGATAATTCTCCCTCAACACCATGAGAGGCAGAGGTTTTCCCCTTCTTTTTCTTCAAGTTAAGTTCAGAAGGAGTACTTTTAAGAGCTTCTTTCCTTTTTCCCTTTAATGGATTCTGCTTGGCTTGAGAAGAATTCACTTCTTCTATAACCTCATCCACAGTAACAAATTCATCCAAGTTAAATGGAAATAACGGTTCCTGTTTGGAAGTTAAAAATCACAGTATTAACAACTACTGACCACTCAGGTTGCAAATAGTCACAATAAATGTGCAGGCAGATCATTTGTAAGAATTATACTGCAGTTTCCTAAAGGCTAAAATAAAATTAGGATTTTTTTAAAAGCCTCCACAAACAGATTAACTGCAATTCATGAATACATGTTAAAGAGATTCAATGATATCAATCTAATTCCATTTTCACATAATTTTAATAAGATTGATTACTTCTTAAATGATAAGTTTTGTAATACAACAATGGCACAAAAATGCTACATTTAAGCATCTGTCAAACAATTAATATAAAGAATTTACTGATCCATATGCTAAATATCTAATAAGTGCTCTGAGAGGACTTACAGAACTTCTAAAACCACTGCAAATGTAACTAGCTCAATGGACTGTTCCCATTGATCAATTCACTTACAATACACATTTTACTTATGCAATGCTAAGAAATAAAGCTTATGCTTTGATAAAGTTATTTTATGAAAACAATTATTACTAGTTAATGTAACTATATTTGAAAACAAAACATCTGTAATTTGAAAAATGGTGCCTAGAGAAACCAGTTTCCATCAGTGCTCCCACATTTATTTAGAATGCTACCAATGATCAATTGTAAGTACATGTAATAAACTATTTAGCCTACTTCAATATAAAAAGTATTAGTAGTAGAATTAGTGTTAGGGTCAAAAAGAAAACAGTCATTGCTATCCCTTACTCTATACCTCTCCTTCTCTAAACATTTTATTAACTAAATAAGGCAGACTCAAGTTATAAGACAGACGAATTCTGTAATGGAAGGCTGGAAATGAAGTAGTGGTGTTAGTGGATTATTTTTTACCTCTTTAGATTTGGAACTTCTACCAGTGGTGCTTTTAGAATTCTTAGTGTTTTGCCCAGACAAAGCCTGAAATATTAAGTAAGAAATACAGAAAAACAGAATTTACATCCAGGTAATTAAAGTTCTTAAAAAACCCCAAAACCCTAAACACAATTATGCAAATATTTAATGAGTATACACAATTAAGTTACTGGTCATTTACTAGTACAGGCATAGTCTCTGAAAATTGTAGCTAAATTCAGTTTTACCAATCTTTTCTTTACTATATCCATAATGTCTAAATTGGGCAATTATGTGACTACAAAAAGGAAGCTTCAATTTAAAAGAAAAAACAGATTTTTCATTCAGAAGGAGAATGCTAAGTCACGTTAAAAGATTCACTACAGATTTTCCTTTTAAACCACATATTTTTGACCAAATAATGCTTTTCCAACTAATTATGAACTTTGAGCTTGATATTCTAAATGCCTATTGGCTTAATTCAATGGATTTAAGAAAGGGAAATGAGAGCTTGGGGGGCACAGTGAGGAGATGAAAGTATGAAACATCTCTACTCTGTAACTACAGCAGCAGAGCTAAGCACGTCAAAGACACACTGAGTCATTCTTCTTACTCTCCTCACCTTATTGTTGCTGTCATCCCGTTTCATGATGGAAGGTCTAGCCTCTGTTTCCTGAGACTGTTTGGTTATGTCCTTGTAATCCAGTTTAGAATCCTTGCCTTGAAGGACTGAGATCTTTCCACTGCTTTCTCTGGTAATACCACTCTGAGTGGGTTTGAATTTACTGCTGCCTTCTGCCAAGTCTGATCTGGTACTTTTAAGTAGACCAAGTTCTTTGGCTGAAAGTTTCTTTTCAACATTTACTTGATCTCTGAGCACAGATTTTAGAAAACTTTTCTGATTTTCAGTTTTTGACGCTGGAGCTTTTGCTTTAGGAGAAGAGACCATAGCAGCCTTAATATTTGATTTATTGCCAGATACATTTGATACAGCCAGCATACTAGTTTTACCAGTTTCATCGGGCTTATTGGTCTGACCCAATTCCTTATTTGGGCAGGCCTTGATTACAATATTTTCTGCAGGCTTTTCTTTCATTGCTACCATAATCTTTTCCAATTTTTCTGCAACCATCTTAGCTTCATTCTTTTCAGTCTTCTCTGTTCCTATCTGTAGATCCATTCTGGTTTCCTTGGTATTAATTTCATTGTCCTCCTTTTCATCCATGTCGCTTTTTTCAGAAATACTCTTTTTATTCACTATCTTCTCATCCCCAGTGCAAATTCCTGGTGCTACAGTCGTAACACAAGCAGATGGCACTATTTCTGAAACAGTTTCATGTGTGTCCACTTCAGCTACAGCTTCTACCATAGATTGTGTGATTCCAGAAAAGAAATCTTCTGCTTCAGATGGAGAATCTTCTAGAATTCCTTTGATACTCCTTTCTTCTATAAGTACACTATCTGATATTGGCAATTCTGTTTCAGGTTTCATAATTTCTGCCTCTTCCTTCTCAAAGTCAGTGGTACACACCTGTTGATTTAAAGCAGACTCCTCCATATTTTCCACAAACAATTCAATACTAGCTGGAGTGGTTGCCACAAGAGGAATTTCTATGTTGACCTCCTCCCCTTGAGTTTCAATTTCCAGTGTTTCAATAGCAAAGTCAGAGTCACACAGTGCTTTTTCAGGTTCTTCCTCACAAGGCTCTTCCTGCTGAATGGAAGTTTCTGTCTGAATATTGGGAGTAGTTTCTTCTTCAACCTCACTAGGTTTAACAGAGGGACTATCAGCTGCTGTTTGCACCTCACTTTCATCAACTGGACTGTTTTTCAAGTCAGGGCTAAAAGTATTTAAAAACAAACAAAAAAGAACACAAACAAAAACAAACAAAAATCAAACTATGATGAGAATTCAACCATTATAAATAATTCTGTTGATGCCAATTGTAAAGACTTCCTGATGCATTCATAATAAGCACTGGGAAATCCAGCCAATCAGCATTAAAGTGGTTAAGATGTTCTGATGTAAGTGTGTAAACAATGTAAAAACTTGAGATCCTTCATCTCACTGAAGTTTTTTTTTTTTTTTTTTTTTTTTCCTTTTTTGGTGGTACTGTGAATTAAACCCAGGGAAGATCTACCACTGAACTCAATTCTCAGCCCTTTTTTATTTTGAAACTATGTCTCACTAAGTTGCCCAGACTGGCCTCCAATTTGTGATCCCCCTGAGTTGACCCCGGAAGTTGCTAGGACTATAGGCATACGTGCCACCCCACCTGGCTTGAAGATTTCTCTTTAATTCAAAAGAAACAGTGACAGAAATACGACTACTGATATGTTTGTTCATTTTACTCATCTGAGTTATAATCAATATTTTTTTCTGCTGTGTCAAGTTTGTACTTCATATTGGAAGGCCAAATGTGAATTTCAAATACCTTCAGTTATTATTAGATGTCCTATCCTCTTATCAGTGGTAATAAGAAAGTATGTGTACAGTTCTACAATGAAACTAAAATTTTCTATGTAAACTTTATCTAAACAAACTGGTACGGGGAAATGTCATTCTTAACCATATCCTCTCATTTTTTGATGTGAGACAGATTTGTTTTAATCTCCCAAGAATTATAGTTATTAATGATATATACTTAAAAGAAGACTTTTCTTTGGAAATATTTTTAAAAATAATTCTGTTGGAAATTTAAAGTTAGAGGTGAAACTGATAGAACCACCTTAACATGAACATACTGTCTTATAAAACATTGTTCTCTGGCTACATTATAGAAAGGAATATATGTTCTTAAAAGAAACCTCTCCAGTACTAAGAATAATAAAAAATCTAGTTATTCAGAAGAAATAGAGAAAATACATAGCCATAGTTATTCAGAAGAAATAGAGAAAATACATAGCCAAGTACATGTAATTGATGTTATCTCTCATCATGGTCTTCCCAAACCCAAAGTAAACAAAAGTGCGTAATCTTATAATTCCACTACTTTCACTGAGGCGGAGACAAAGTATTTTTAATATTTATGTTCTACAATTAAAATTTATCTTAGGAGAATAAGGAGCACCTTAGCTTTTGAAGACAACATCCAGCATGCTGTCAACACAAATTAAAGTTTAACCAATATATTCACATAATTACATTGGAGGAAATTTAAAAAAATGATGATTACCATATCAATACCTCATAGTAAAGAGTACCTCTGATAAACTTCTGAAAGTACAGTTAAATATATTCTAGTTAACAATGCAAGATGACGTGTACCTGTGTCCTAAGACGTTCATCACATTTCAGAAGCATGGAAAAAGTCCAAATCAGGGTTTAATCATCTGAGCCAATAAACTGGCTCTCCCACAAGGATGGTAAATTTAATTAGGCTTGCAAAGAAGAATAGAACACTTTTCTACCAGAAAAACACCTGTTTGTTCAAAAGTTGCAAAGGCACCAAGTTTGAGTAATTTGAGTTGAAGAACCAGTAACCATGGACCTTAATATGTATTCTATTTACTGTAAAAGCTACACTTTGTATAATGAAAGGCTTTTATTTGAAATAATTCACATCTTTTATATTAAAAACACCAATGGCCAGGCATGGTGGCCCACGCTTGCAATCCCAGTGGCTCGGGAGGCTGAGACAGGAGAATCGCGAGTTCTAAGCCAGCCTTAGCAACAGTGAGGCGTTAAGCAACTCAATGAGACCCTGTCTCTGAATAAAATACAAAATAGGCTGGGAGTGTGGCTCAGAGTGTGCCCTTAAATTCAATCCCTGTTACCAAAAAAAAAAAAAAAAACCAGTGGTTGATTTTATATGTTCCAAATTCTTGGGAGTAGTCAAAATAAAGTTTGTGGCTAAGCACAAACATGACAAAGAAGTTGTGACATACACAGATACATGAATATTATTTCCCAAAATACAAGATTAATTTCTGATGATGAAGAATAAACTCAAACTCCTGAATCATTACTGAATTGCATATTAACCCTAAAATCTTTACAAACATTTATGGGGCTGGAAGAATAACAATGAAGAGGATCTTGATTCCTGGCTCAAGAATATAGCAAGATTTTTTTCCCTTTACCATATTTAAAGTTTGTCTATAAAAAGTTATTATCTTTTATACAAAATGAATCACTATGCAGTTCCACACTTGAAAGAGAACATAGAACTATTTGGAAAAAAGATTTAATTCCATATTTGTCCTTCTGTGCCTCTCTCTTTAAAAATTTATAGAATTCATTTACTAAAAATTAATACCTCCAGCTGATATGGTAGAAAGCATCAATAGTGATCAATTCAGATTGAAAAGTCAGTTTGAGATGTCAAATAAGTGACATTATTAACACCAGAGTTAAACAGGAAAACAGTCATATTCTGGAAAATGGCACACAAAAGGGATTCCAGGAAGGCATTCATCACAGGTATCTAATTTCCTACTCCCCTGTTCTACCCCATAGTCCCATAATTCCACAATGTCAAAAAAGGCATACAACAAAAGCTGAGCATGAGAACGAAGAGTAACACTGTAAGACAGGAAACTTTAGAGTTGACTTCACAATACTGAAGATTAGTGTTTATTTCAGAGTCCCACTGGGTACTTCCCAATATTAGTGAGTTAGGGAAATTTCATCTAGCATCCTTATTTGGAACCTTAGTCACATGATAAGTAAATATTGATTGCATGGAAGGGGGATGAATACAGGGTTAATATGTGGGTTATTATTAAATTATGAATGATATTTTCTCTACATGGGAAATCTATTTAAATAGTTTACATTAATTATAAACAAAAGGATCATATTCATGATGAATGGCAACCACAAGTACTTTATAAAAACAATAAATATTAGTATTTTCTTAACATCAGTTTACTCTAAAAGAAATATTAAGTATTCTGGCCATATCCCGTATCTTTCTCCTTCATCTCATATAAGTCAGAAAAAAATGAATGACATACTAGAAATTAACTATGAAATGATTAATGCTAGAATTTCTAAATTAATTTTATAAGACTGAACAACTACCTGTAAATTCATTATTAATATCTAATTTTAAAAGATATATCTAAATAATAAAAGAAAGATAATGACTAATTACTACTGCTATAGGCAATAGCTTTTCTTTTGCAGACTTCAGAGAAAACTATCAAAGTACAGAAAATGAATTTGGGGACAAGTCTATTTATTTACTAGTCACAGAGTTATTGTGGAAAAACTGTTGGTCTCTGTACTACTACATGCGCCGCTGTTACTAAGTCCTCTGTGGCTTTAAGGGAAAACGTTGTTGGTTGTATTATTCTTTAGGTATATGAATTTAACTAGGTTGATGATGTAAACTTAAAAAAAAAAAAAAAAAGTATGTGTTGACACATGTGGAAAACCCATTGCTTCAAAGTTACTAAGAAGAAAAAATCCATAAGACATTCTGTCTTCAGGCATCTTAAAATCAGTGTACTAAACAACAAATACTTTTTATATTTAAATACTTTCAAACTGTTATTTCAAGCTTACATGTTCTTACAACGTGGACTAACAAAATACCAGTGATGAATTAGTACACAAGAGGTAAAAGAAATGTTCTAAATCAATGCTGTGCAAATAAAAGCAGTGAATGGCAGGTTATTAACTGGTAGGATAAGGAAGTGACAAAGACAATATCCATTTTAATGAAAACGATATCCATTTTAATGAAAACGTTAGTAAGGAGAGAGTGTACTGTGGTCAAATCAAGTTTGTCAATCACTAATTTTTAGGGACTCTAAAAAATGAGCTTTCATCCTCTGAAACTACAAAGCAGTTCATATTAACTTTTTTTGTTTTTTGACAAATTTTCCTTTTCCCACTTCAGTTTCTAAAAATGTACCAAAATATACACTGAAAATTATCTTTTTATTAAAAATTATCTTTTTATTAAACTAATGAAGTTTTGTATTTTGGAAATTGATTTTTCACTATTGTGTTCACTATAAAATAGAAAACTCTAACAAAAAGAATATAATATTGACCATGAAGTTAAATTGTTAAAGTTTCTACAAAGCATTTTATAAAGAAGTCATATTTATATATTTAATCTAAACAGTAATATTTATATTTCAATTCATAGTTTACCTAAATAATCAGTAAAACCTGAATGAGATAAAAAACAAAACCCCTCGGTCAACAGAACCCCAAAAGAAAACCACAATGACTTCATATATACACAAAAGGAATGAGTAAGATAGGATTTTTTCCTACAGTGAGACTATTTACTATAAATATGGAAATAAAATTCAGTATCTAAATACTGTACAAAAATGTTAGCAAACTTAAAGCAACATACCTTTCTTTTTCTGGTTCTGGGCCTTTCTCAATTTTCGCCTGAAACACAATCCATATTTTATTAGAGGTTATTCTATTGGATTTTAAATATTCAGTTAAAAAATTTTTAAAGTTTAAACCTTAAACCCATTATGTCCTATTGTCCTATATAAAGATCACATAAATATCCATAAACTTTTTGGAACACCTGTAAAATGGCTCAGTTTAAGTTTTTAAAGGTGTCCTATACATAAGATGGAACATAATGAGTTAAAAATAACGGATAGTTTTCAGTGTTCACCTGACAATCAGGTTCTAGAAATATTTTTCTCAATAAAGACCATTACATTGTGTTATACAGAATAATTCACATATAGCAATTAAATTTTACTTAATGTTGACATGAATGAGAAACTATCTGTGGCTTATAAGAAAGCCAATAAACCTGAAATATAACCATCTTCCTTGTAGAATTATTTTAAAAGATTTCTATTTATAAGGAAGACTTAAAAAGTTTCCTACTCAAAACATTTAGAAATGCTGGAACAATAAACCTTTTAAATATTTTTCTGAACTTCCAACAAAACAACATTCTGAGACCCACCGCCCCCCACCCCCAGAAAAAAAAAAAAAAGTAGAAATTAAAAGATCAGTGCCTATGTACCAAACACTATCTTAGGTACTTTGGGACATATCTGTGAACAACTTGCAAAAATAAAAAATATCTGCCCTTTAGAGCTTATACACAGAAAAAGGAGGACTTTTCTTTAGGAATCATGTGTTATCTCATTTAAAACTTTCTAGAAAGTCTGTCAGAAAAAAAAAAAGAATAGTACTTTACATAAAATGAATAATCTGCTTAGAGAACCTCTTTTAACAGAGTATGTGACAGAAGTCTAGTCTACATCCTACTAGCATAGTAGATATTACTAACAGTCAATAAACCCCATCCAAAGATAGTATTTATAAGCAGTCTTCTCAATCTGTGGAGTAGCCTGTTAGTAGGAACAAAACCTTACGTGATAGCAGAGGAAATCTAACAGATACCTGTATGAGGTAACTTCTTTCCCAATTCATAAGTAAAAGAGAAAAACAAATGCATAGGACTGAATGTGATAAGCACATAAACTGGTTTAAGAAAGATATTTCAGACAACTGTAGGAGCTTTAAAAAAAAAAAACTAAAAAAAACAACCCTAGAAAAATACAATAAAAATTGAAGAGAAAAAATAAACAATGAGAACTTTTCTCAAGTGAAGAATACACTGATCTTTTTTTTTCCCTCAATACTGGGAACTGAACCCAGTTCACTTTACCACATCCCCAGCTCATTTTATTTTTTGAGACAGGGTTTCACTAAATTGCTGATATTGACTTGAAATTGTGATCCTCCTGCCTCATCCTCCCAAGTAGCTGGGATTAAAGGCGTATACTGTGATACCCAGCTAAGAACAGAATTTTCAATAAAATTTAATTTAAAACAAATATACACACTTCTTTCTCCCAGAAGGAAAACCAAAGCAGCCTATCATTATCATCATTATCCTAGAGATAATGATGATACGTATATGGAGTTACTCCATCCACATGTCAAAAAATGATATTATATTTTTCAAAATTACCTCACTTTATTCTCATGAAGACAAATTTACATTGTTCCATAAACCATGACAATTACATGTGACTGCAAAACAAATTTTAAAAGAAAAAATATTTAGGGTCAAAACTAGTTTGACTACTGATTAAAAGGAACAAATTTTTAAAAAAATTTAAAGAATAATTATTCAAACTACATTTAGAGTATATCTTCTAAGCTTTGGGTAAGTGCTGTTTTTTTTTTTTTTTTTTCATTTTCGAAAGGAACAAAAACTGACACACACACAAAATGTTACCTCAGATAAATCCATCTTTGGAGATAACGTGCAAGTCAATACATGGTCACCTATGTTTTGTGGATTTTGTTTCAGAAAGTTGTACATTGATTGAGCAGATTCAGGACTTTCTAACTGAAGAATCGCCTTTGGAGAAGATTTAAAAAAAAAAGGATGAGTAGTTCCTAAAAAATTAAAAGTAGAATTACATTTATTTAAGTATGATCTAGCCATTTCTTTCCATACACCCAAACGAACTGAAAAAAGAGACTCAAACATTTATTTGTAAATAGCATTATTTACAATAGCCAAAAGATAGAAGCAACAAAACTGTCGACCAGTGAATGAGTAGACTTTAAAATGTGGTATATGCATACAATAAAATATTGTTCAACCTTAAAGTGGAACTTCTGACACATGATACAACATGTATGAACCTGGAAGACATGTTATGGTTTAGATATGAGGTGTTCCTTAAAAGCTCATCTGTGAATCAATGCAAAAGGATTTAGAGGTGAAGTGTTAAGAGAGCCTTAACCTAATTAGTGTGTTCAACCACTGACTGTGATTAACCGGATGGTCACTGTAGGCAGATAGGGTGGGGTTGGAGGTGGGTCACTGGGGGTGTATCTTGGGGTTTATATCTTGTCCTTGTTAAGCAGTGCTCTCTCTGCTTTCTGGTGTGATGTCTTGAATTTGCTTTCCAGCATGTCCTTCCACCATGATGTTCTGACTCACCTTGAGCCCTGAGGAATGGAGCCAGCTATCTGTGGACTGAGACCTCTGAAACTGTGAGCCCCAAAATAAACTTTTCCTCCTTTAAAATGGTTCTTGTCATGTCATGCCTAGCATGCAAGAGGCCCTATGTTCCATTCTACCACCCCACCCCAAAAAAAATCAAGGAGGAAAAAAAAAAAGAAGAAAATACAATGTTGATTGACAGGCTGAGAGGAAGAGGAATGGCAGGCTATTGTTTAATGGAGCTTCTATTTGAGATTATGGGAAAACTTCTGGAAACGGATAACGATAATACTGTCAATAAAATGTGAATGTGTTTAATACTTAATAATGATACTTAATAACCGAAATTAATCAGTGAATTTAAACATTGCTGCAATGGTAAATTTATGATTTTGCAAATGGCAGAATTTGTATATTTTACCACCATAACATCTTTTTTTTAATTCTTGAATAATTTGATTGTCTTTTTCTTTCAGGCTCTAGGTGTGTGATTCCAAAAGTATTGTTAATCCTATCTCCAAGTAAAGAAACGAAAACGATCCTTAGAATGCTGCAAAAGGCAAAGCAAAACTGAAAATGATATGCATTTTTAAAGACTGTGTATTAAGGATGTCTACAAATATATATATAAAAGGATGCTGGGCACGGTGGTGCATGCCTATAATCCTAGTGGCTCAGGAGGCTGAGGCACTATGCAACTCGGTGAGACCTTGTCTCTAAATAAAATACAAAATAGGGCTGGAGATGTGGCTCAGTAGTCAAGTGGCCCTGAGTTCAATCCCTGGTACAAAAAGAGTCTGCCTAAAGTAAAACTTTAGAATTTGTACATGCCATCTGTGCCCTACCTTCCAGCCTATGTCACACCATTCCTATATGCACATCTGTAATCCTAAACATGTAATCCCAAACATGCTCTATTTTCAGTTAGGAACATACCAAAAAAAAAAAAAAAGTCATTGATCAAATATGTACTTTATATGAAGCAAAAATCATCCACTTTAATGTGAAATCCTGCCTTTCTAGATAAAATACTGCTGATCAAAACCTAATTTTAATGGTCATAAACTAAAATATATATTGAATATAGAGGGTATGAAAAATGCAAACAGATGAACAATTTTTGGTTCTTAATTTTAAGAGAAGAACATAGTGGTGCACACCTATAATCCCAGAGACTTGGGAGGCTGAGGCAGGAGAATTGCAAGTTTGAGGCCAGCCTCAGCAATTCAGTGAGGCCCTCAACAACCTAGCAAGACCCTGTTTCAAAACAAAATAAAAATTTAAAAAGGCTGGGGATGTGCTCAGTGATAGAGCAAAGTGCCCCTGGGTTCAATCTTGAGTACCAAAACAAAAAGAAAAAAAAAGAAGCCAAATCATGAAATGAGTATTTATAACTTCTCATAAATGAACAGACCTAAATCTATGTTTTATAGCTGAAAGGAACTTTAAAAAGATATCTGGTAATGTGCATTTCATTTTACAAATAAGTGTAAAACAAACTGCCAAGGCCACAAAGTTAGTCAAAGTCATATTCAAATAAACTCAATCTAAACTTCCCAGTTAGATAATACTTTTTGGACTATTTTATCCCTTCCCCTGTGTGAATCTTGTTTCTCCTTAAAAACTAAGAGTTCTGAAAAAAGAGAAAGGGAGACAGAGAGAGATTGATTATTTTCTTTTCCTTGTCACAGCTGAGGAGAAAATATCCTGGTCTGTTATCCTACTAAGCAACTGAATGGTGTTTATAAATGCTTCAATTCAGAAGTTAGTTGCAGACCACAGCCAGGCATGGTGGTGCACATCTGTAATCCCAGCAACTCGGCAGGCCAAGGCAGGAGGATCGCAAGTTTGATGTCAGCCTCAGCAACAGCCAAGCCATAAGCAACTTAGTAAGACTTTGTCTCAAAAATAAAAAATAAAAAGAGCTGGGGATATAGCTCAACGCTGAAGTGTCCGTGGGTTAAAAATCCCTGGTACACTGCCCACCCCAGCCCCCCGCACCCACAAAAGTTGCAGACCACAAGAATAAGGGTCCAGTCATATATTCGTAAGAGCTAAATTAGGGAGGAACTTGTTACCTTGTTTTTATTATTCATGAATATGTGGTGATTCACTTTTCCAAACTGAAGTCCAACACAAAGTGCACACTGAAGTCCATCTTCTGGTAAATTATCAAGATGCACAAACTGGCTATAAATTTTATCTGTATTTGCCTGTATTTTTTAAGAGATGGCATAGAAAAATTCAAAGCTGTAGCTTCAAACTGTGAAACACAGATTAGTAGTAATTTAAAATTACAATGGCCATATGATGTCTTCTCAAGAGTAAGAAAATGACTGTAGATAAAGAAAGTAAGATCCACATGACATATCTTATTCCTTCAGTACAAGTATCTTAATATTGCTACTAAGGTCTTCTTTAATTCCTAAAAGATGAACCAATAAAACAATGTTTCTAACAAACGCGTCAACATGGGTATGTAAATGCAAAACTCACCTCTGGGTCATCTTCTTTAATCAAGGTTGTAAACAGGGCTTCCTAAAAAGTCAAAAAGATAAAGGCTGAAGAAATAAGCTCTTTCTCATTCATGTAGTTAGTCAAGATTTATAATATAAAACTCTACACAAATTTGCATTATCCATTATTTCATCAAATGAGCAATAAAACTTTGATTCCTTCCAAAAATATTTCCCTCCTTTTGAAAAAGTTATTGAAGTCTCACCCCATACAACTTCATTTTCCTTATTTCTCTAAATTAATTAAAGATCAGTAAGTGCCATTTAGGGAAGACATTCAAATTCACAAATAAGGAACTAATTATGACTTAATATGAACAAAAGAAAGAGAATTTAATATTAAAAGAAGCTAACAGGAGCTGGAGCGCTAGCTCAGTGATAGAGCACTTGCCTTGTACATGGAGGCACTGAGTTTTATCCCCAGCACCACCTTAAAAAAATAAATAAAATAAAGGTATTGTGTCCATCTACAACTAAAAAATTTAAGAAGAAAAAAAAAAAAAGAAAGAAAAAAGGAAAGCTAACAAAGCAAAGAAAAAGATGAGGAATAACAGATACAGGCAAATACAAAGCTGCATAGTGTAGAAATGTACAGTGAACTATTGCTACTGAAATATAAAAAGGCCAAAGTGACATGAGAATAGAATGTCAAAGCTGGCAAAGAATAACTAATGAAAAGATTTATGTGCAGGAAAAGAACTTTATCTTATGAGACTATGGTTCTCTTTTTTTCTTTGACACAAGTGACATATATAAAACACTCTCTCTAATTTACAAGTGTTTTGCATTTCCACCTTCCTCTAGACGTAGTAATATGTCACTATAGGTCACATAGAAACATTGAAGGGTTTTTACTGAATTTGAATAGATATGAACTTTGTCATTTTTGTGGTTTTGTGAAGAACGAACTTGATGAGACATAGCTGAAGGCATAAAGTACAAAGGAATATAACTTTGCTGGTCCAATAAAAGTTTTTAAGAGAAGTAACTGTAGACAGAATGAAGAAAGGGAAACAAATTTTGTAGTTAAAGAGAGAAAACTTCATGAAGGCTCACATGTAAGGAATCAGGAAAAAAAAAAAAAAGAAATCAGAGAAAAAGAATTAGGAAAACTTCCAAAATTCCTGTAAGATATGAGCAGCGAGGAGATGCCTGTTTCAGATAATTTTAAATTTTTTTCTAACCCAACAAACTATGTATAGGATTCCCTCAATAGTGGATTAAGTGATTATTGGGAAAACAAAAAGTTTTCTTAGCGCCTAGGAAAAAGACATGCACCAAAGAAGAAAACAGGATAACATAACAGACTATAAAAATCTGATAAAAAATTAATATCTAATAAAAATGATGGTGTAAATCTATGATTTACCTCATCTTTTATATTCACGTTTTTAGGAGCCATACTTATGGAGAGTTGATTTCCATCCATGGATATTGGGAAGCAGGTATAAAACTTTACCATAGAATCTGCAGATTTTCTACTTATTTCTATATATGCCTTTAAAAATAAAAATTACAAGTAAAAAAAAGTCTTATTTTTTCTTGAAAAGAAAATACTTTAGTCAAATGACTTAAACAATTTAATAAATATATTTAAGATCAAAAACGCAGACCTCAAAATCGTGATGCACACAGTTAACTAAGACTACTAAGAAATAATAAATGACTTAACTTGTAAGGCAATACTACAAATATAAACAAAAAACATTCTAGTAACTGACATTAAGGTAATAAATTATTCACTGCATTTTTAGTACAATAGTATCTAACATGTAGATATTACATTTTGAGTAAATACATGTATAACGACTATCAAGTTATTTTTTGTTTTTTTCATAGGTATAAAATTTTAGCTCTATGTATTTTTGTCTTAATTTTCAAGCCTAGGTAAGTTGAAATTGATTCTTCTATACATTTGCTAATATATACTGTGGTAAAAATCTTCTATGTATTTGTATACAGCTACAAATATTTCACAAATTATTTCTGTCATTTGCCCATGTATTCATTATACTTTTAATATGCTAAATAGCATATTGTGGATGTGAAGCTTCTGTTTCTCACTTTATACAAATGTTTTTTTTTAATTTCAAGTATCCATTTTCCTTTATGTTAATTTTAATATCATCATTAACTAAAAAAAGATATATAAATTTTAAAACTGAATGCCATTATGGGTGGTGTGATGAAATCTCCAGTCATCCCACTTCTTGCTTGGGACCTGAAAGATCCCTTTGTCTAGCATATCCATGCTGTATACACATACTACTTGCCCATTAGTCATCTTAATAGCCATCTCTGTTACTGTTAAGTGTAGCTCTTGTTTAAGTAACATTAATTTTACTAAATAACGGCCTCAAAGCATAAGAGTATGATGTTAACCACTTGTGCCAAAGAGGAGCTGTAAAATGCTTCAAGTAAAAAGGTAAAAAGTTTATACATAATAAAGAAAAAAAAATACATGCTGAGATTGCTAAGATCTATGATAAAGACAAATCTTTTATCTGTGAAATTGTGAAGAAGGAAAAAGAAATCTGTGCTAGTTTTGCTGTTGCATCTGAAAATCAAATCAGCAAAAATTATGGCCACTGTGCATGTTAAGTACTTAGTTAAGATGGAAAAGGCATTATATCTGTATATGTATGTATTGGAAAAAATATAGTATATACAAAGTTCAGTCCTATCTGCAGTTTCAGGCATCCCTATAGTCATCAAATGTAATTCTCCTATATAAGCAGTAGTGTGGAGGCAGGATGGACTACTGTACTGAATCTGATATTTTTTTTATGTAATAGCTAAAAGTACTAAATCTCCAAGTATTTAATACTTCTACTCTAATCAAAACTGGGTAGTTAATAACCTAGGTATTTTTGTGTTTAGATTTTATACTTATATACAATATATAATATACATGTATTTATACTTTAATGAATTATGTAAAGTTATCAGTAATAAATTTTAATTGTTTCTGGGCTGGGGTTGTGGTTCAATGGTAGAACGCTTGCCTAAAACGTGTGAGGCACTGGGCTCGATCCTCAGCACCACATTAAAATTAATTAATTAAAAAATTAAGTTATTAAAAAATTTTAACTATTTCTAAAAATGCAAATTTCCCCTATTTCAATATACTGTCACATATAAAACCTTAATATTAAAAAATGCATTTCCTTTTATTCTCATCATCTTTAAACTTACAAATAATCTACTTTTCTTTTAATAAAATGTAACTGTCACAACATAAAATTCACCCATTTAAAAGTGTACAATGCATAGTTTTTAATGCATTTACAGAATTGTGAAACACTCAAATAACCTATTTTTGACATATTTTGAAACTACATAACTTACTTGTATTCACTCTTCTCTCATTTTCTTAAGAACACTGGCCTCAAAGACCTTTCATGATCTCCAACACACCTTTCTATGATAAGAACACTGCTGTTTACCAATCTAATGGCATGATTTCCAATGTTCAAACTTTTCCTGAAATCTTACCTCCTATAAAATACCTTCCACCAGTTGTTTATTATTAACCAAAAAATCTTACTGTGCTGTTTTAAAATTACAAAAACAATAAATACTGAAAGTTTGTAGCATACAGATAAACTTTTTTGGGGGTACTCAACCAGGGGTCTTAACCACTGAGCAACATCCCCAGGCCTTTATTAAAATTTGGAGGCAGGTTCTCGCTAAATTGCTGAGGAAGCTTTGAACTTGCAGTATTCCTGCCTCAGTCTCCCAAGTGGCTGGGATTTACAGGCATGTGCCACTGTGCCCAGCAAACTTATTTATTCTAAGTAGAGCTAACATTATTAGTTTATGTCTGAAAACAGTGACTGCTCATTTGAGTTATCACTGATGAAAGAATAGAATAAGACATACTAGTAGAAGAGTCATCTATAAAATTTTGTTATTAAACAGCTTTTTATTAAACATTAAAGATATTAAACATTTTCTAGTAAAATACAATCTCGAGCAAATCTTTGACATATTAGTTAGCCATTCCCTCTTATCATTAAAACTATGCCTTATTAGGACAGTATTAAAAATAAATCTGTTTTATATTTTAAAACTCTCTTAGCTTAATGTAAGCATTACTTTGCAATGTTGCTTTTAAATAGTTTCATGAATTTAATGTTTCTCAAAATTAGCGTGTAAACTATCACTAATATTAACAACTCTTACCTTTTTATGAGATGATAAAATCAAAATATCCTTTAAACCACCAAATGGTTTTGTCAAGTTATTAATTTCTTCTATAGAATAGCCTTTATTAGGCAAATTAGAAATAAGTACCACGCACATTTCTTCTGATTCCTTCAAAAGAAATTAAGAAATTAGTATTAAAATTTTTTAACTTATTTTTATATTTAAATTTATACTTCACATCATTATGTTAGTACTTAAATTGTGTTTACTTCTGAGAAAAGTCTGACCAATTCAGGAGGCTGGAATAAACTTCAAATAAAAAACAACCTTTCCCCTTACATTTGCAAATTTACATTCTTCAAATATACAGAGTAACTATAGTCAAACAACCTGTCACCTAGTCCTGATCTGTGGGTTGTTTTCCCCCTGCCATTCGGTGTTTTAAAACATAAGCTTACTTACAACTTCTTTTTTTTTCATGTACTATTGCCATTTCCTATACCTTGTGACACAACATCCTCAATCTCCAAATTAGTGTGTATCTTTTTATCTTCCCAAGTAAGATAATTATTTTTAGGCAACATAAAAAAAAGCTTACCCAATTCATTAAGATCCTTACCCAACAACCTAATCCACACTTTGAGGAAGTACTTTCTTTTCTACTGTTACCTATCTTGATCCATTTTATTTTCTAAAATAACTGTTTCATCAATACTATTTTTCTTTTTGTGAATTTGGGAAAATTTCTAAGGATAAGCTATATAGTAAGCTTGGCAGTTTTTCACTTTTGTTTAAAAAAAAAGGTAGAAACTTATAATTTTCATAAACCCTCTGAGAGTGATTTACTGGCACATCATATGTGTAATTCCAGTGCTTCAGGAGACTGAGGCAAGAGGATCTTGAGTTCAAAAATCAGCCTCAGCAACTTGTCCAATCCCTGAGCAACTTAGCAACACTCTAACTAAAATATAAAAAGGGCTGGGGGTGTGGCTTAGTGGTTATGCACCCCTGGCTGGGTTCAACAACCCATACCAAAAAAATGGTTCCTTTTAAAGTCCTTTAAGGGATTCCTAAAATACTTAGTGACTTCTTAAAGAATGAATTAATGGATTTGTTACAGCAAAATAAATTTGTGCTTATTAGCACCTGAGTGACCTTAAAATCTAAACAAATAAAATATGGATTAATGATACTTTAATATTCTTAATGATAAATATAACTACAAGAAAATAATCAAAGCGAACTTTATGATCTTTAAATAAACTGGAAACTCCACCTGCCCCTCCAAAAGTCCCCACAACATCAAACAACCTCGTGTGTTCTAAAAAATATAATATTAGCATATCTCCTAGGAAGAAAAAAGATACCATGAAATTCTGAGTTCTAATTTGATGAACTGTTATTTACCCCAAACCCCATTTTAGCTATTCTCAGGGAAAAGTGATCTTTTCAAATATGTACACATTTTTTGGTAATCTATCCCTAAGATCTACTCTGTAACTCAAGGTTTTTGAACTGAAACCATATTTAAGGAGTCACAAATGACTGAATTTTCCACAACACAAATACTGTAAATTTTTTTTACGTGGATCTACAAAAAAAACCAAAACAACTGTTTTGTCAAAATTTGAGCTTTAAAGAAATAAAATAAAAACTGACCTTGTTAACTGCTTCATTTTCTGTGGCTTCCAAAGCAGCTTCTTAATACCAAAATAATAATAAAAATTAGTTTTTTTAAATTCATGTAGATATATTTATTAAAATCTCACTTTACAATGGATTGAACAGAAGCTATATGCACATATTTACAATTGACAAAAGACTAGAAAATTAGTAGGTAATAACTACAAAAGAGACACTAGCTTTTAGATAATATTTTTTTTTCCTTGTAAGAGCAAAATTTCGGAATAATCTTGTGTATGACAGTGGTATTTAAAAATACATAGCTGTGTGTGTGTGTGTGCGTGCACGAGCACACACACACACACACACACAGAGATACAAAACTTGGTACTGCTTTTCTTAAAATTTAAAAATTTTCCTCTATCCTTAACCGTAGGGGAACAAAATAAAATTCTATTGGCCTACCTGAAATAGTTTCTTTAGCACTGTTTTCAGCAGCTTTAGCTTCTGTACTGGTATTTACTTCAGAATTTGCTGCATGAAATAGTCTGTTTTAGTAGTCTACAAAAACACTTATCTAATTAAACTAGTAAATGTAAATAATAACAAATTATTTTGTCATTTCAAGTCTCTTTCACTGTCCTGGTTCAAATCAAACTCAACCTAACACATTTCTTTCTGAAAACAAAATAATCCCTTTGAGGATTTTTAAGGGAAATTTCAAAATACATCCTGAATACACAATAAAAGGATCTAAAAAAAATAAAATACAGAATGATAATACTTCAAGCTTACCTGGTACAGTTACAGGTTTGTTTAAATCTTTATTTTTTATATTCCCAGCCTTTCTGGCTTCTAAAGACTTCTTTCCAGTAGATTTTCCTTTTAAAACAATCCAACTGTTATTCTACAGGTCTGTTCAATTATTTTAGCATGCTTCATACTAATGTATTAGTAAATGAATTGTTCAACTTTATTGTAAAAGCAGTTCTTTCCATATATTCATTATTTCCATTTATTTTCAATATCTGTTTACCAATAGTAAAAGTAAATTTAAGTTGAGATACAATTTTAAAAAAATATTTTTTAGTTGTAGTTGGACACAATACCTTTATTTTATTTATTTATTTTTATGAGGTGCTGGGGATCAAACCCAGAGCCTTGCACGTGCTAGGTGAGCACTATACTGCTGAGCCACAACCCCAGCCCAAGATACAATGTTTTGTTGATGGCCTTAAATAAATTTAACCTTCATGTAGTAGAAACACATAATCACAGAAGCAAAACATGTTTTAGAATTTCTGCAAAGGTTCTTTGATACTAGTCTAAGAAAAGATACCACCACTAAGAAGATCATGCTAAGTTTCAAAAAGCTACATTTATTTAAAATAACGTACTTAGAGAGAAAATGTACTATTTCTTTACAGAGAAATTCATTCTACTAACATGGAAAGAACTAATCTTTTAAAGTAACAAACATCAAAAAAATTATACAAGCTAGGAAAGGTAATGTGAAGCAAATATTCTGAAAAAAAAAAAAAAAAGAACAAGGCAAAGACTAAACTATTTATAGGAGAGAATGACAGAGTAGCCTTATTATATGATTATAAATCTGTCAAACTATACAATCTATAAAACTACATATATAGTTAAATATAATCAATACAATCTATAAAGCTATATATACAGATGTGTGCATGTGTGAATAAATAAAATATAGATAATATGAGTTATATCACTGCACAAAAATGTATCTTTAATGGCAGTTTACTGTCCAAGATAAAAGTACCAGCAAATAAAAGTCCTATATAGATCATAGCAATATCTATTTTCAAGATGTTATTAAATACTAAAAATTATTTGTGAATTTAAAATTTGTTTCTGATATTGTATTTGTATGCTTTAAGGAAGAATTAAAAGTAAACGTAATAAAACCTCTTTTAGTCTTACCTGTTTTGATAGCTTTAACTTTAGCAGCTACTGTTACCACAGATTTTACAGAACCCGCTGATTTCCCTAAATAACAAAAGCTAAGGTCAAAACCGGTTTACTTAACTAGTATCAGCAATCTCCAAAGAACAAACTTCACAGAGAAAGAATATACGCACAACCGCACAGATGATTTTCTAAAATCCAGCTATGATAATTTATTCAGGGGGAAAAGAAATCACTGACATAAGAATTCATTCTCCTACTAGGATATAAACAAAGGTGTTTGGAGATTGTCACAACTATCTAACAGTAACCTTGTAAGAATACAACCATACTTTTGAAAAATTAAATCAATCTCTCTCTCTCACACACACACACACACACACACACACACGCACACACACATATACACCCTGGGACAGGCAGAGAGAATTGAGGGGGGTGGAGAAAGACAGACACACAGAGAGAGGGAGGGAGGGAGGGAATAACTGACATCTATAAAATCCAATAGTAATAGTGTACAAATCCACCTTTTATATTCAAGGACAGACCATAATCGTTGTTCTAGAGGAGGACATACAATCAATCAACAAGTACATGAAAAAATGCTCACCATCTCTAGCAGTCAGAGAAATGCAAATCAAAACCACCCTAAGATACCATCTCACTCCAGTTAGATTGGCAGCCATTAGGAAGTCAAACAACAACAAGTGCTGGCGAGGATGTGGGGAAAAGGGTACACGTGTACATTGCTGGTGGGACTGCAAATTGGTGCAGCCAATTTGGAAAGCAGTATGGAGATTTCTTGGAAAGCTGGGAATGGAGCCACCATTTGACCCAGCTATTCCCCTTCTCGGTCTATTCCCTAAAGACCTAAAAAGAGCATGCTACAGGGACACTGCTACATCGATGTTCATAGCAGCACAATTCACAATAGCTAGACTGTGGAACCAACCTAGATGCCCTTCAATGGATGAATGGATAAAAAAAATGTGGCATTTATACACAATGGAGTATTACTCTGCATTAAAAAATGACAAAATCATAGAATTTACAGGGAAATGGATGGCATTAGAGCAGATTATGCTAAGGGAAGCTAGCCAATCCCTAAAAAACAAATGCCAAATGTCTTCTTTGATATAAGGAGAGTAACTAAGAACAGAGTAGGGTCGAAGAGCATGAGAAGAAGATTAACATTAAACAGGGATGAGAGGTGGGAGGGAAAGGGAGAGAGAAGGGAAAATGCATGGAAATGGAAGGAGACCCTCAGAGTTATACAAAAGTACATACAAGAGGAAGTGAGGGGAAGGGGAAAAATAATATAAGGGGGACAAACGAATGTCAGTAGAGGGGGCAGAGAGAGGGGAGGGGAGGGGAGGGGAGGGGAGGGGAGGGGAGGGGAGGGGAGGGGAGGGGAGGGGGGATAGTAGAGGATAGGAAAGGCAGCAGAATACAACAGACATTAGTATGGCAATATGTAAATCAATGGATGTGTAACTGATGTGATTCTGCAATCTGTATATGGGGTAAAAATGGGAGCTCATAACCCACTTGAATCAAATTGTGAAATATGATATCAAGAACTATGTAATGTTTTGAACAGCCAACAATAAAAAATTAAAAAAAAATAAAAAAAATAAAACAGCAACATGAAAGGAATCTTTCAATTTTGCTTTTCAGAGTTTCATATACCCAAAGATTAAAATTAAACAATTTATAAGTAACTTTGTGTCATTCTGAGTCCTGCTTCATTCTGCCTGAGATGTGAATGTGCTATTTATCCAGCATATCAACAATGTATACCTGGTCCATTAGTTACTCAGTAGCAGTCTCTGATATCACACTATTACTTGAGCATTTGTGTTTATTTAACTACTTAATTATGGCCCCAAAGCTCAAGAGTAGTGATGCTGGGCTGGGTTGTGGCTCAGTGGTAATACGTTCACCTCACATGTGTGAGGCATTGGGTTCAATCCTCAGCACCACATAAAAAACAAATAACTACATTGTCTCCATCCTACAACTGAAAAAAAAAGTGTTGTGATGCTGACAATTCACACATGCCAAAGAAGCTGTAAAGTGCTTCTTACTTTAGGTGAAAGTACAATTGGTAAAATATTTTTAGAGATCATATTCCCTTAACTTTTTATTATTTTATTATCATTGCTAATTTTTACTGTGCCTAGCGTATAAAATAAACTTTATCACAGATATTTATGTGTCAGAAAAACAGTATATGTGTGGTTTGGTACTATCTGCAGTATCAGGTATCTACTGTGGGTTGTGGAACACATCTCTGTGGGTACAGGAACTACTGCACCAATTCCTTACAATCTGTCACACAACTAGTCAATTCTTAGTAATTTGTAAATTTTTTTAACACTTATTATTTTTTTAGTTGTAGGTGGACACAATATCTTTATTTTATTTTTAGGTGGTGCTGAAAATCGAACCCAGTGCCCACATGTGCCAGGCGAGCACTCTCCCACTGAGCAACAACCCCAGCACCCAGTAATCTGTAACTTTGCCCCAGTAAGCCTATCATGCATTTCTTTTACTATCCCTATTATTATCACAAGTCAATTCACTTTCCTATTTCCATTTGTATACCAAAATTTGAGAAGGAAAAAAAAAAAGCCAGCATCTATTTCCAACATCCTTTGCCCTAGTAATAATTCCTCAAGAAATACAAAGATGACTCTTGGGATGTTTCTAGCAGCTTTATCTCCCAGCCTACCAAATCTCTACCAGTGACTTCCATACCCTTCCTATCAAAGTAATAATGAACTGTTGATAAATAAATGCAGTCTTAAAACAAGTTTCCTTGCAATATAAGACCCCCTCAGATGACTGCTTCTAAGAAACTGCTACATGAAAATTCTGGGTCTGCCACTAACGGTGGTATTTCCCAGTAAAAAGCTACTTCTTTTCCTGTTTAATACTGTAGGGAAGACAATTTAATCCACTGCTCTTATCCACTTAAAGATGACCCTGAATTAACCTGCATTTAGTAGAAATGGGAGGGAAAGGAAAAGGAAGCATTATGCCAGAGTAAAGAAAATAATAATAATTACTTTAAAACCTACTAGTTTTATAAAAACTGCAAAGAGATCATGTTTGCTTTCTGGACTATTGTATAAAACAAAGTGAGAGACAACATCAATGAAAGAAAAGGAAGAAAATATCTGTGATGTTCATTATAAGAAATACTTTCTCCAGTTTAAATATCTTACTTTGATAATTACTATAAGGAAAGAATATTATGCACTAAATCTCTCGTTTCTCAGAATTGCAGGATGACTGTATATTTTGAGGATTAATATACATTCAATAAGACTGTATCACATGAAATCCAAGACTACTGCTACACATTCTTAATTTAAAGTAAGCTAATGTGTCTAGATCTTAACTGTAAACACACCTGGAGGACTGAGTGTGGCTCAGTGGTAGAGCACTTGCTAGCATGAGAAAGGACACTGTTTCAATCTCCCCCCTCCCAAAAAATTACCTGTAGATTTGTTTACTTTGACTGAAGATGTCTTGGTTTGTCCAGTTTTGGCTAAAATAACAAGAAAAATATTTCAATAACACATTATAATAACATCATTTGGGTTAAGGTAAGAGCTAACCTGGCCATAATTTTGATTATGTGTATGGCAAGAAACATCCCAAGATGTTCTTGAGGAATTATTACTAGGGCAAATTCTTAAAGATGAACTTGATCTGTCAAAAGGTACACACTAAATTTTTAACAATTAATATTAAAAGAGCCCTCCAGCGTGGCTGTACCAATTAATATTCCCATCAAATATGAGAGTGGGGCTTCTACATTTCCACTCAAACATAACAACTTATGTTTGAGTAACTTAACCATAAGCTTAACTCAGTGACAAAAGTTATGAAATCTTTCCAATGTGACATCAACACTGGTATGATTTAATTTTTGTTAATTATGGAAAAAGTTGAATCAATTTTCACGTTTAAATATCATCCTTATTTTTTACATCCCTACATCATCTTACATACTTATTCTATTTGCCAAATTTCTCTTTAAGTTGTTGACATTTTCCTCATTTACTAGTCCCCTTTAAATATTAAGAAATTGGTCTATATCACACAGGTAACAATTTTTAAAATGCAATTATACAAAATTTTTATGTAAAAGTATTTTTTATGTAATCAAATGTTTTCCTATTTGGAATGAATTTCCTCATTTTGGAATTTAAAAAATATGTTGTCCACATTTAAAAATATCTTTACCAGGCTATGTGACACATTAAATTTCTGATCCAATGGTTATTTTGATATAAATACTTAACTTTTCTGGGGGGGAATACCGGTAATTGGACTCAAGGGCACTTGACCACTGAGTCACACCCCCAGCCCTATTTGTATTTCATTTAGAGACAGCCTCTGCTGAGGCTGCCTTTGAACTCCTGATCCTCCTGCCTCAACCTCCTAAGCTGCTGGGATTACAGTCATGCGCCGCTGTGTAAGACTTAACATTTAAATGATAGAAAAATAAAATTAAATATGTTCCCTTACCCAGCAAGTAAAGGATACAAAGACTTATTAACACAAATTATTAATACCAAGTGATTTAATGTATAAATTATTACTAGAAGAGAGCTGCAAACTTCTAACAGAGTAGGAAAGTCAGGGAAGGTACTGAAGAAACTGAGACAGGCCATAAAGAATGAATTAAAATTGGCCTTAACCCTACCCCACAAAAGGAAGTCTTCACTGACCTTTTGTATAGAATTATTTTATTTTTAAATCCAGTGCCTTACACATGCTAAGGAATACAGTCACAGCCCCTTCACCGATTTTTTTTACCTTTAGCACCTTGCCTGGTACTTGTTAAGTAGGTACTAAGTAAAGCTCACTGAGAGTCAGACAACAATTACATGAATGGTCAGCATAAGTAAAGAACTGAGAGATGAATGAGCATAGCATGCCTAGAATATAAATTGTTCTGAGAGGCTGAAACATAGCTGAGTTTTGAGGTAGAAAAAAGGAAGATGAAGCCTTCAAAGGGCAAAGGGTAATTTATGTAAAGATGAAGAATTTGGACTTTATTCTATACTAGATTTTAAAAAGGTTAAAAGGTAGGCACAGTGGTGCATACCTACAATCCCAGAGACTTGGGAGGCTGAGCAGGAGGATCTCAAGTTGGAGGTCAGGCTCAGCAACTTAGAAAGACCCTGTCTCAAAATAAAAAATAAAAAGGTCTGGGGATGCAGCTCAGTGGTAGAGCTCCCCTGGGTTCAATCCATGGTAATTGTTTTAAATGAGACGAGTACATCTGAGGGTATGGAGAAGGTTTAAATATGTATAAGAGATGTAACTGGTCCTTAAAGACATGGAAAGGAGAGAATCAACTAGGAAAAAAAGCATAGCATGAAAAGTGGAACAAACTTTTAGGGAAACTATTAAGATAAAAGAAGAACAGTGATCAAGAGAGATTAAGAACAAGCTCTGTAATCATTTATTATTTTTATAATTATATATTTTTTGTATGTGTGTGGTGCTGGGAATCAAACACAGGGCCTTGCACATGCTAGGCAAGCACTCTACCACTGAGTTATATTCCCAGCCCCTATAATTACATTTAAAATAAAGTAATTTTTATCTGGGAATTCATTTTGATAGCAGTACTTTTATGCAGGCGAAACACTTTGAAATCATACAGTTTGAGTCCTAATTCTTCATGTGGTCTTCAGTAAGTCAAATAACTTCTCTGAATCTGTTTACTTATTTAAAAATGAGAAAAGATTACATAAAGTAACTAACATAAATACATTAAGTGCCCAGTGTAAATAACATAACTCAAATAGATGCTCAAAATTTGACTTACCCCTGTTTTCCCTTTTTGGGAACAGATTGTTAGTAGAACTTTTTGCTTAAAAAAAAATCACTATTATTTACACACTATATTCTAAAGGTAAATGAATTAATCACCTTTACCCTGGTTCTATTTTTTTCTTTTGGTCACAGCACTTCTCACTTTCTAAAACACATATTATTTAATGTTTTTATTTCTTTCATATTAGTATTGGGTGAGAATTTAAAAGTCTCCCTTTATGATCAAATTTATGTTTTTGCCTCTTCCCCACAGCTTCAATCTTTTTGATGTGCTTATAATCAAACTATCTTTAATTGACTTTTCATATCACTCTTCAATCTGACATATCTAATCTCAAAAAAGATATTGTATACCATTCTTTCACCTAACACTTCTTTATAGGTTCCTCTCTTTCTATATTTACATTAGAAAATAGGAAGTGCTTAGTATTTAACTTGAAGCATTTTTCTTCACAGTAATTATTTTTATTATATTAGAAAAATTTAACATTTATACTTTACACTTAGAAAATTTCCTACATATCTGCATTTCACATTCAATGCCATATGACTAGCTATTAAAAATATTCAGGAGATATTCTAAAATAGCTGAATTCTGGCTAAATTGAAATCTAACATCACGTTTCCCCCAAGCTAAAATAAATAAATAAAACTGTGGCTATGTTTTTCTGTAATAACCAATATTACCACTTTTTTTTTTTTTTGTAGTTGTCGACGGACAGCATGCCCCTATTTTATTTGTTTATTCTTATGTGGTGCTAAGGGTTAAACCCAGTGCCTCACACATGCTACTAAGCAAGCGCCTTGCCTTGCTGCTGAACTACAGGCAAACCCAATATTATCATTCTTGGAGCAAAATTCATCCAACCCAAAACTTTAAAATTATTATATTCCTTTAATATTTATATCTTACTAAAAAAATTCCACACAACAAAATTCAAACTTTACCTTCATATGCCATTCTAATTAACCTTTTCATATCAAGTCCCAATTACCCCAAGTGAATCCAACTGTTTCCTCAATAGAACTTTTCAATCTCTCCATTTATCAATCTATGTAAGAATCCTAAACAACTAGTAGATGGCTCCATATTTTCTATGGCAATTTTACCCAGGGTCTGTACCAACTTTTACCAATTTTAGAGTAAAAATGGAGTGTACTTTAGCCAAGCTTAGGAAACAGAGGATTAAAAAAAACTGAAAATAAATGTTTCACGGATTTAAAAAAAAAAAAATAGTACATACCCCAAATTTTATCTGACCCAAATCATCTTCTAGAAATTACTCCCATGCAACACATTTTGGGAAATGTTATTAACTGGGTCAAATAAAAAACTCCCCAGCATGACTCCTAAAGGCCTTCTACAGAGTACTTCCTCAGTTTTACTGCCTTTGTTATGCCATCTCCCTGCAAAAGGTAATCTTGTTTCTATGTAATACTTGTTTTTTTTTAATATTTATTTTTCAGGTGTAGTTGGACACAATACCTTAATTTATTTATTTTTATGTGGTGCTGAGGATCGAACCCAAAGGCGTGATAGGTGAGCACTCTACTGCTGAACTATAACCCCAGCCCTCTATGTAATACTTGTAATATATACATCATCTAATTTAAAATCTTAGTCAAAATGACTGCCACAGTACCTCCATTAATGTCCAATGCTTCATTACTTTATCCAACTAAACATTATTAGAGAAAGGAGATAATTTTACACAATCCAATTTTCCAGTCACTTGGTTAATAATTTTAGTACCTCAAATCCTATCTTATTCTGAAAAGAAATCCAAAACTCACTATATACCTGCCATCCCCAAACAGAACATACAAAAAACAATTTAATTCTCTGATTATATTTCATGTCTGCTTTATTTTAGTTTTCTCTCTGTCATTCACTATTAATCTATTTATCCTTACTAGTCTCAAGAGGGTATATTTTGGCAGCAATTTTTTTCTAGTCCTAACTGGATTGAGGGAAAAAGATAACAATTTTTTAAAACTATGCAAAATTCATTTAGCTAGATTCATAAAAAAGACATGAAGTACCTTCCTGAGTGTAAAGAAACAACTTTTAGCACCCGAATGCAATAATATCTATTTACTTAGTCTTTTGTTATTGTTGTTGTTATTTACTTTTTGACTCTCAGCTAACTTTAAAAAACCAAAGGGAAACAGGTAAGCAATCTTACCAAACCTTTCTTTACGTTTTATCTTGTGGTTTATTGGGAAAGGTTGGAGCGAAGTATTATTAAAACTAACCTAAATATGTAAAAATACAGCTACAGCTATTAAATATGGAACTATAATAGGTCGTTTATATACATTATCTCATAGAGTCCTTATCTTTATTCCAGATATTCTGTATTACAGAGCACTAAATATTAAATGCTTACTTAATACAATTAAAGAATGCAATTTAAAGTATAATAATGATTTTCAAGCATCATCTTGTAAAAACATTCAAGTGAAATGACAAAACACCCTCATTTGGATGAATATTAAGGTTAACAACTTACCAGAAGCTGAAGTAACAGTTTCAACAGTTTTTGAAGCATCTGCATCTTTCCTATTTAAAAGAAGAAAAAAATTAGCAACCAACTTAGAAGTTCTATAAAATTTTAAAAATGCAGCATTCAAAACTGAAAAAGGTAAACATCATTCCACTGGAACAATGTCCCATTTAAATTATAGTTATGGTGATTTAAAATACAGTTTTAAAATTTAAATTTTTCAATTCATATACACATTAATTCTCACATATGAAATCATAGAATCACTTACTTTAAAGCAGATGCAGCTAATTTCTTTGAGTCTGAAGTTTTCTTCTTCATTTCTTTGTTCTATAAACGAAAAATATTTTGAACAAAAATTTTAGCTTTCTCCCAATTATAAAAATTAATTTAGAAAATGCACAAAAGCAAAAGGAATTCAAAAAGAAAAATAAAAACCATTGAAAATCTTCCTACTATGAAGTATAAATGCTTATTTACCCTTTTTTCTACATACAGATAGAATAAAAATATTTCCTTCAATTTGTGATCATACAGCAGAATTTTATATTTTCTCATCACTCACATACATTTTTCTAATCATTATCTTTCAAAAACATGATTTCTCATAGTGTTGTGACATTTCAGATGTCTAACTGCCAGCACTCCAATTCAATCAAGGTAAATTACTTAGCTTTGATTAATACAATTGACTCAGAAGGATCTCTGCTTCTGTCCTTGCCTTTTCATCTACTCACACCCTATTGACAACATAAAGTCAGATTAAATTTGCCATTCCTAGCCCCGAAAACTTTCCCACACTCAGAGCTGTAATCTCTCCATTTCTGTGTGGTATACATTCTAAAAATCCCCAGTGGATAACTGAAACTACAGAGAGTATTAAACCCTATATATACTGTATTTTTTCCTTTACATACATACCTACCTGTGACAGTTTAACTTTCAAATTAGGCACAACAACAGATTAACTACTACTACTAATAAAATAGAACAATTATAAAAATTTATGCAAATATGGTCTCTTGAAATATCTTATTGATTACACTTTTACCTTTTCACTTAAAAAGAAGCACTTTACAGTTTCTCTTTGGCATATACAAATTTCCAGCATCAACATCCTTGCACTTTAGGACTATAATTAAGTAAAATAAGGGTTATTTAAACACAAGCACTGTAACACCTCCACATTTAGTGTGAAAACAGACCACTAAGTGACTAATGGGAAGTTACACAGCATGGATATGCTAGACAAGGGGCTCATTAATGTTTCTGGCAAAGACAAAGCACAACAGCTGGAAATTTCGTCACACTACTCACAATGGCACACAACTTATAAACCCAATAGCCTGTAAAGGTTTCCTCCAAATGTTTCACTACTCTCTACTCCTCAAACCACCATTTATCTTCCACCCTCAACCTCAAGCATCCTTCTTCTCTTCAAACAAGCTAGTGTGGAACTAAGTGTTTTACAACTAAGTGCTGTTCCTTCTCTGTGAGACATGGCTTGATCCCCAACCCTCTTAAGGTACTTCTTCAAATACCTCCTTTTCAATGATACCTCCCTCAATTACCTTATTGAAAAATTCCAGTTTCTTGTTCCCAGTAAGAATACTTCTACTCCCCTTTCCTGATGGTTTTTCACTATCACCCTTGTTGCCAATAGACATGATACGTATGTCTATTGGCAACAAGGGTGGTCTATTCTCTCTATATTGATGGTCTATTCTCTCTATATCTCTTAAACTCTGTGATACCAGGGACTTTATTATATTCCACATTCTATTCAAGTGCCTAAAAATCATGCAGGGCAATTTGTGAACATTCAGTAAAATCTGCTAAATTGAGATGATTTTCATAATAGTTCTCATGTAATTTTACATTTTCTGTTCTTCTGGGGAATTTCTGCAATTTCCTCTCTGTACTATAAAGGACTGTATTCCAAATGTCTCCATCACCTCAATGATTCAGAAGATATTAAATCTCCTATTTTTATTTTGTTACTTTCAATTTTAAAAGAAACTCCAAACTACTAATTTCCTCTGTATAAGTTTTAAAAATTTTAGCTCTCACATCTTGCTACATTCCAATTTTGGAGTGGAGAGGGGATACTGGGGATTTAACCCAGGGGCACTTTATCACTGAGCTCGATCCCCAGTGCATTTTTTTTTTTTTTTTTGATAGGGATTGATCCAAGGGTGTTTAGCTACTGAACCACATCTCCAGCCCCTCTTTTAATACTTTATTTAAAGATAGCCCTTGATGAGTTGCTTAGGGTCTTGCTAAGTTGCTGAAGGTGGCTTTGAAGTCATGATCCTCTTGCCTCAGCCTCTTGCACCAGGAATTACAGGTGCATGCCACCGCACCTAGCACAAATTTTTGATGATATAGTTTGGCATAAAATTATCTTTTTTTAATTTATGCTATATTAATTTATCAAAGTGATTATTTTGACTGTACATTTTATATAATTCTCCATTTCTTAAGTTCTTTGTTTTATATTACTGCCTAAAAAAATACGTAAATGAATTAACTTTCTAAGCCCATATATGTCTGAAAATATTATCTTAAGTTATATTAGAATTTCACTTGCAATAGATATACTGAATTGCAATAAATCACAGTCTTTTCCCGTACAACCCTGATAATGTGTTGCTCTACTCCTGAAGGCTGGATTACTTCTTGTATTTTACTGTGTCTACCTAGATCATGGTAGGTCACCCCTCTCCTTCATAACCAAGAAATATTAAAATCTTCACAGCCATTTAAGTGATGTCCTCTTTCTGAAGTTTCAATTCTGTGTAGATTAGGTTTTTTAGATTTACCTACCAAGCCTTTCCTCTTACATCAGTTTCAGCTCTTTAACCTTTTCTCATATATAAGGTATAAGGATAGGACTACGTCTGTTTTGTTCACCACTGTATAACTTCTGCAGATTCTACACTGTCAAACTCATAATAGATGCTTAAGAAAGTTTTTTATTTAAAATGGAATCAACCCTGATCTGAATTCTAATCACATTTTTTGCTTTTATCACCTTGCTAACTCACTAGATTTTCCATAATGCTCAAATGCTTACTTTCTCCCCAAATTATTTTTCATTTCCATGCAATCTTCTTGGCTCTTAGTTGACTGTTCTAGGTTTAGATATAATATCATACATGTTGCTAAAAAATATCAAACTGAAATTTCTGAAGTATTGCTTATTTGTACAGGGTGAGCCACAATAGTTCATAGCTCTAAGGGTTTTGTTTTGGGGCAATTTGATCACACTTTTTTCTAGAGTAAGGGCTCCTGTCCCTTTAAAAAATTTTTTGTGAGTATATGCCTGAAGTTATTTCTCTGGGGGCGGGGGTGGAGGGGTTCTCTGAATACTTGTTTTCAGGTTATGAGTAACAGTAATAAAGGAACTAGTTCAGAAGGAAGAATCACTGTTTAGGAAAGAGATTTATGTTGGCTTATTATTAAAGATAAGTAACTGAGTTTCCATCAGTTATGCGAATCCATATCAATATAAATATATTAGAAATTTTTACCTATTCTAAAAATTTCTTTATTGACTCTGAAAAGCAGCAAAATGGGGAAAACTTATGTAAAACACAGCCAGAGTCAGAGGCAGTCCTAACATCAATTTGGGCAGGTCAATTAAGTTTCATCTTGGTTCTAACTACTCATGCCAAAAATCATGATCTGGACCATGAAAACAATAGCACAGTCCTTTTTTTTCCTCTAATTTGGGTTTCCAGTTTATTTTTGGCTTGCTTTGGCAGGAAAACTCAATGTCTTCCACTTACTGTGTTAACAGGCCAAAAAGACTGTCCACATACTTCCCGTCTGAAGAAGGCACAACCAGAGTTCTGTTGGAGTTCCCCTCCAGTCAATGCCTAGGAATGCTGTTCTATCACAACAGAGGGAGTCATGAGTTAGCCGTCTAAGCCTCCTTAAATTCAGCATCATCCAAACCATATTTAAAGAAGAACATCAATATTTTTGACAGGTGGATGACATGTTGTCCAGCCTCTGGTGTTGACAGTTTCCCCTATGCATTTCTAGAAAAATCATGATAGCAAATATGTCTGGACTCTTGGGCTTAAGTCATTACCTTAACAAATCTTACCAAAAAAATTGTCTAAAAGGATTTTAATCTGTTTGAAACACTCTAATTCATTAAATGTATTCTTATCTGTTTTCCTAAACATTAAAGAATAAATAAGACTGGCTTCCCCACTTCTCCAAATCTAATGACCAGCTAAGTCTTGCTTAATAATCATTGGTTTAAATTACTTTACTTTCCTATTTTCAAGATTACTAATCTATAAAAAATAATACCATTATACAAGATGAATTGACTAGATGAATTTTCTAACTGGACTTCAGTGCGCTCTTGACTCCTCTCCACTTTGGTCAAACTGCTAGGTTTTCTTTGCTTTCAAGTCACTTGCTGAATTTCAATTCATTCTCCAAACCAATTCCAGATGCATCATCCTAATTAATCCCTTCCATTATGTTCAAACCTTTGAATAAGATTTACCTGTCAATAGGATAAAGCTTAAGTTCTGAAATTATGCATTCTATCCTTGCTTCTCCTTAACCTCCTCCCCAACTTAAATGGCCATGTGTGGTAGTTCTAGGAAATTAAATAAATGTTTCTGGGTAACTCATTCTTTCAAACCCATTTATTTCCTCCTTTCTGATTAGAATATAGAAATGATGCCAGAAGATATAGCAACCATCTTACAACTGAAGATGAAAGCTACATGCTAAAGATGGTAGAGAAGAAAGATGGGTTAGGTTCCTCAAGATATTATGGAAGCTGCTGCACCAGCTCTGGATAAACTACATAAAGATTTCCTAGTAAAACATAAAGGTAATTCTTATTTAATAAACTGATGGTAAGGTTTCTGTTAAATGAAACTGAACAAAATCCTAAATGATATAATCAGCAATACTCAGGGTCACCATATACTTCATTATCCAAACCAAGACAACAAGAATGGACAGCAAGCACATAGCAGGGAAAACTAGGATGATGCATTACCCGACTAGTGGCTACTGAAAAATAAATAAAAAGTAAAGCCCCTTTCTCTTAGAGAAATATATTTTATATAAATATATGTATTTTTATAAACTTAACGCCCCTTAAGTATACAGAACTGTTTATAAAAAATTATAAAACTGGCTAATGGACAGAAAATGAAATTTAAATTAATGGAGAGATAAACCATGCTTTTAAAGAGAAAGACTCGGTGAATTTGTATTTATACAAATTCAGTATAGTATCAATTAAATCTCAGGGAGACTTTTCAGAGAATCTAAACTGATTCTAAAACCAACATCAGTAAATGTTCAAGATAAACCAAAATAAATTTAAATAATATCTAAAAATAGAACTCTACATACGATAGCTTATACCTTTTAATCTCAGCTACAGGGGAGGTTGAAGCAAAAGGATCAAAAGTTTGAGGCCAGCCTCTCCAACTTAGCAAGACCCTGTCTCCAAATTAAAAAAAAAAAAAAAAAGGTAAAAGGGCTTGAGTTGTAGCTCAGTGATAAAGCACCCATGGGCTTAATCCCCAATACCAGGGGTGGGAGGAATTCTTGTCAGAAAGATAAGGAAATATTATAAAGTTACATAATAATTACTATAATAATTTATACCACATAGTAACACCATAAAAATGATTAGATTCATGTAACAGAATAATCTAAAACAGACCTATGTATATAAAGAAATTTAAAGAGGTAAAATCAATAAGGATAATTAAATCAATAAGGATAGAGTAGGTATGAGTAGCAATGGGTTAATTGCTACCCATTTTGTATATAATACCAAGCCTAACCCCACATTATACCGTGAAAAATAGATTAAGAAAATAAAGGAAGTGTATCGTTCTGGCACTGATATAGTGAAGGTATTCCAAAACATGATAAAAGGGGAAAAAAACAAAAGCCACAGAGGAAAATACCAGTCCAGTTGAACACATGGAAATTAAAAACTTATGTGCATATATATATATATATATATATATATATGTAAGTATGTGTATACACTCATACACAGATACTTATATAACACAAAATTAGTATCTAGGATAATAAACACCTTCAAATGAATTTTTGGGGGTGTGGGGGGATACCAGGGATTGAACCTAGAGGCATTTAAACACTAAGCCACATCCCCAGCCCCTTTTCTATTTTTTATTCAGAGACAGGATCTCGCTAAGTTGCTGAGGCTTGTTTTGAACTTATAATCCTCTTGCCTCAGCCTCCTTAGCCCCTGGGATCATAGGCAAGTGCCACCACACCAGCTCAAATGAATTTTTAACTGATAAGAACCCACTGGGAGAAAGAAACCAACAACTCACTAAAATACCTAGTAAAAAATAGCTAATAATTATATAAAAATACGAAAGTTCACTATATGCAAATTAAAATTAGATGCCATGGGGATAGGGGGTATTGGGGATTGAACTCAGGATATTCAACCACTGAGCCACATCCCCAGCTATTTTGTACTTTATTTAGAGACACTGAGTTGCTTAGTATTTTGCTGTTGCTGAGGCTGGTTTTGAACCCACGATCTCCTGTCTCAGCCTCCCAAGACACCGGGATTACAGACATGCACCACCATGACCAGTTTAGATACCATTTTTGATATACTGAATTGTTAAAACTAAAGAAATTAAAATATTGCTAATTTAGAAATACCAGTCCTCACACAAATTACAAGGTTATATGTTACTGCAACTACTTTGCAGGCAATCCAATACTATGTATTACTGTACATCCTATAACACAAAAGGATGATCTGTGAGAGACATGTAACAAGACAACTAAAGTCTTATTTATAATGGTGAAAGACCTAGAAATAACATAAACATCAACCAATAAGGAACCTTAAAATAATTGTAAAATACAAAGTAATGCCTCACAGAAAGCAAAAATGAGAAAAACGCCTCATACATTAATACGGATAGACTATTACTGGGAAATGTTTGATATAGAACCTTGCTGTATTCTACAGCAAATAGAAAAATAAAAGAGCACACACAAAGCAATACTATTGAAGATTTTAAAATAATTCTATTGATATTTTCTTTCAACTAAGCACAGAAAACAGTCTAAGCAAGACTAAACTCATAAAAATTAACACTTCTAAGGAAATAAGGATCCCAAAAGAACATATCATCTCTGATTTTGTTTATATAAAAATATAAAACAGACAAAACTCAACCATGGCTTCAGAAAGGAAGTGAGGAAATACCTGTGGGCAGCAGGGAGGGTTGAGGAGCAGCAGCTAAGGATGTTATCAATGTTCTGTTTTGTGATATAGGTGGCAGTTCACAGACACTTGCTAGTTTTGTTTTACATATGGTTAAGTATATGTAAAGTATGATCCTAGTCTGTTGCTTGTTATTTAAACCACTGTGGTGCTATATGTGTGTATGCATAAAGAGTTTTTAAAATTTCAGTGTATCTGAATTTATACACATAATCTGTTGGGCTAACATTTACATTTCATAAAGTTTTTGCATGTATGCCACACTTAAACAAAAGGTTAAAATAATCAACAACAACAAAACATCTAGTACCAAAATTCAATTTACCTGAGCTTTTTTCTTTCCTGGAACACTTATTTTCACACTTTTTCCTTTTATCACAAGAGGTGATGTTTCAGTATACTTCATGACTGCAGTAATTGCTTCTTTAAATTCCATTTCCAAGTAAGCCTAAAATGAAATTTATTTCTTTTTCAGTAAAAAAAAAAAAAGGGGGGGGGGTACCTTTTAAAAGCCCCTGTGTTTTAAAATGGACTTATTACTTCCTTATGGAACAGAAAACTATGAAATTAGTTTAAGGCCCAGTTGCTTTTGCCTCTCTTTGTTTCACTTGATCATTTGATCTTAAGCATGTTTCACGCATGAAAAGGATATTTAACCTCATAGAATCTCTATACTGTTACCAAGACAGGAAGAGGGACCCAGAAGTCCATGGCAGGCTCATGTAACAAGAAGGAATAGCAAGGCAGGGTTAACTGAACAACAGGAGTAAAGCCAGGATCTTGTCTAGCTTGCTCAAACCTGAACATGTTTAAGGCTTCCTGCAGTAAAGATGACACTACCACTGTGTTCCCTTATCTTAACTCACACCTATGTTCTGCTTTAGTTTTAGGGTTCCTCATAGTTCTAAAACTTTATCAGATGAGCTATAGGAATATCCCCCACATGCAAAAAATACTTACCATACAAAGAAAATAATTTATTTTAGTATAACTCCACTGGTGTAAAATATGGCACACCATCTATTTTTGTAAAGTTTTGGGAACATGCTTGCTCATTTACATATTAACTACAGCTACTTTTATACCACAGTGACAGAGTAGTTAGAATGCTATGGCCAACCCACAAAAGCTTAAAGTTATTTGTTATCTGGCCCTTTACAGAAAAAGTGTACCAAAAAATTGGGAACATGTTCATTCACATCCAAACACTTGTAACTCCCAGTGAACATATGCAGTATAACCAGGTGAGAGACCCAACAAAAATTCACAGAATCACTAAAACAACAACTGCATGAATTTTAAAACAGACTGAATGACTCACCTCCTTTCTATATGGAACGATCAGGACATCATTAACTTTTCCAAATGGCTGAAATATCTTCCTAATATCTTCTTCAGTACAGCCATCCTCTGGTAGTTCAGATAAAAGAAGAACTGAACCATAATGCAAAGACTGCTCTTTCCGAAGCTATTTTTTGGAGTGAAAGAAAATAAAGAAACCAAGTTAAGTGACAAAGAACAAAATAATAATTCCTTGTATAATATATTATCCTTCTAATCTTGTTCCGTTAATGGATCTGTTCTAAATGTTTATAATTTTTTTTTTTTACATGGGCAAGGCAGGGGAGGAAATACTGGGGATTATACTCAGGGGTACATTTAAATTCTTAAATGCTAAAAAAAAAAAGGGGGTAACAAATGATCTAGAGCTATTAAGAAAAATTTTCTATTTGAACCTACATGGCCCATCATAGAGTGAAGCTGAATTTCCCATGTTGTTAATTCTATGTTCTAATGATTAAAAATGTTATTGTATATGGGTATAATGTTTTTAAATATTCATTTGTTAGATATAATTTAAATATACTATAATAATCAAATTTATTATCCATATTAAAAATTATCTAAAATAAAAAAAAGAACTTTCAAAAAAAATTCATTACTACCCCACAGAAGTCTTGAAACAAAATGTAAAGAACTTTATATACTGTCTTGTCAGACAAATTAAAAATGTTTCCCTCTTCAAAATTTTCCCCATACTTAATACTTCTTCCAAAGTCTCTTTGAAATTCTATAATTGCAAGTTGATTTTCTAAGTTTATCCTTTTAAATATAACCTTTTTGGGGCAAGAAATAGTTGGTGAAAATCTTCAATGTGCTGAGGTATGGTAGCACGTGCCTGTAATCCTAGCTACTCGAAAGGCTAAGGCAAGATCTCAAGTTCAAGGCCAGTTTCAGCAACTTAATAAGACCCAGTCTCAAAAAAATAAAAAGGGGAGGGGATGCAGCTCAGTGATAAAGCTCCCCTGAGTACAATCCCCAGTTATCTCCCCTGCCTGCCAGATCCATGCAAAAACAAAGTCTTCAGTGTATTTAGAAAAATTTGAGAGCACTATATACCTAAGCACTTGAAGACAACAATCTATCTGTGAAGCCAGCCAAAAATTTTGCCAAGCCATCACAATATTTTTTGACGCATCAAATGCCAAATCTCTGACATTTCTAAGCTGTAAGATTTGAATTATTGGATTTTTATACTAAGAGTATATGAGAAACCAATGAAATGGAATCGTATCAAAATAATTAAACAAGTTATGAGTTCACATTTATTGGAAATGTAGAATAAGAAAATTTAGACAACTTTGTTTTCTCTTTGCCATAACAACATATATATGTACACTTTCTCTGATAAACAAAAGACTTACTGACCTTACGCTGGAGAGAGACAGCTTTACCAGACACCTGTTTACATTCTGGTAAGGTGTCATCTTCAAGATTCTTTGATTTACGAGCAGAATGTCCTCCTAAATTTGCGTCACTCTTTGTAGAGCTTATAGATTTAACTGGTGGCTTTGTTCCACTGACAACTTTAGGTTTTTGTGCTGGGGAGTGTCCTGTATCAACGGCTTCAAGATGCTTCTGTTTGTTAAATTCTGCCCCATGTCCAGATCGTTGTACCACATCTTCTAACGCTTTTTTTCTATCTAGTAAGAAGAATGTAAGTACAACTTCAATTGGAAGGAATATAAAGAACCACTTCATGACATCATGAAAAAAAGACTAACTTTATCACACAGAGCTCAATAGGGAAGATAAACACACAAAAAAATGGTCTCAAGTTTTAACTGTGCACTCTGAAGGCTTTTATATGTAGTTCCTTTATTCCATGTGGCTCCAGGATTTCTTCACATGCTGAGAACTTCAAAGAATTTGTATTGTATTTACTGATATTTACCATATTAAAAGTTAAAAACAGAACTTTCAAACAATTTACTAATTCATTTAATATAAACTCCAATATTAACGGTGACATCTTTTATAAAGATTAAAATTCTCAAAGTAAAAAAAAATTAGTGAAATGAGTAATAACACTGTACATTTCTCTACACACTTTAATGTTGGGCTTAATGGGAAATACTTAAAAATTCTTATATGTGGTTCTGCCTCCAATATGCTGGATACACCGTTTTGGTTGAAAACATAAAGAAAATCCAGCCTCGCACATATATGTAATTGGAAAAGGAAAAACCTTACAGAACTTTGGAAAAATCCTATGGATATGTAGGGGATCTTGGACCACAACAATGAGACCAGTTGCCTTATAAATTTGCAAATATTTCCATTTACATTCAACCTTTTAGAATATACTGAATATGAGAAAAGAACTATTCAAAGTTCTTCTTAAACAGGGTAAAAATATGAGTAATTTTTTAAGTTTTAAATGTATTCATGAAAGTCTATAGTTAAGGCAAACTATGTTTTCACATGCTTACTTTTGTGCATGGACAGATACAACTCTCCCAAAATTACCAGAAAAATGGACTCTGAGATAATGTGTCAGAATTCACACAGCAATTTTACAATTTTATAAAACAATTTTATTTCTTAAAATCTAAACAAAAGGAACTAAAAATTTTAATCAAAATAAGTAGATTTTATTGTTTCATGGTCATCAGCATACCTGATGATCTCACTGATCTCCTTGATGTCCTTTCAGGGCTGACTGATCGATAGCATTTTGGACTACCTCTAAATGGATTTCTAATTCGATATGGCGAACGGGATCGGGATCTAGATCTGTATCTAGAAATGAACCGATGGCAAATTCTTGGACTCCGACTTCTTGGTCTATATGGGTAGCGTATTGGGCTTCGAGATCGATGAAACCTGTGACTTGAACTTGATCTCCTAGAGCGCCTAGGACTGGGGGAATGAGAACGTCTTCTTGGAGTCTCATTTTCTTTTCTATTGCCCTCATTTCTACAAAGTAGAAGAAAAAGAATCAAGATGCAGCAATTTAATGTAAATTAAAATTATACTAAGTGACAGAAGTACCTCTTTTTTCCTACAGTACTGGGATTGAACCCAGGGGCACTAAGCTACGTAAGCTACCTCAGTCCTTTTTTATTTATTTTTGAGGCAGGGTCTTACTAAGTTATTTAGGGCCTCACTAAGATCCTGAGGCTGACATCAAACTGGTAATCGTTCTGTCTCAACCTCCCAAGTTACTAGGACTACAGGTGACCAAACCCAGCTCCCAGTCTTTTTCATTTTTTATTCTGAGACAGAATCTCACTAAGTTGCTGAGAGTCTTGCTAAATTACTGAAGCTGGCCTTGAACTTCCCAGCCTCCTACCTTATCCTTTCAAGTCACCACCATACCCAGCTAGAAGTACCTCCTCAAAAATTAATTATTACCTTCAATATCAAACTCATAACAAGTATTACTTAAAACAAGAAAACCTATTGTTATGATATAATTCAACTTTCTGGTTTGGAAGAAACCAATTAGAACAGATGATCAACATTCCAATGGCTTGGAATCTTACCCTTTCTAGTTTACAGAAGAGTGTCATCATTGATTTCTTATGCTTACCCCTTTACGAATTATGTTTTTCAAGTATAAAGCTAACTAGAGAATTTAGAAACTGATTTACATACAGAAATATTTTCAAAAATTTTTCCTTGAAAAAGTATACTGTCTACATATATTTTTTTGATTTCCATAAATGTGTATACACATAAATTGAGTTGGTATTCTCAAGAATTCAAAGCTTAACATGAAATTATAATAAAGTTAGAATAAAAATATTTTCATTAAAGATTAAAGAAAGTTGAAGTTCAGAAAAAGAACGTATTATTTAACATACAATAAGTAAAGAAGCTTCAGAGAGCTTCCTGCAATTGCCCATTATGAAAAGTGATCAAAGTAGGACACAATTCAAAAGAATAGCTTTTTATTTTTTGGTTTAAGGGAATGAACCCAGGGGTGCTCAACCACTGAGCCACATCCCCAGCCCACTGTTATTTTATTTTAAGACAGGGTCTCACTAAGTTGGTTGGGGCCTCATTATGTTGCTGAGGCTGACTTTGAATTTGCGATCCTCCTGCCTTAGCCTTCTGAGGCCCTGGGATTACGGGTGTGCTCCACTGCTCTGGGAAAAAATAGCTTTTTAAAAAGTAAATATTTGCTCTTAGAAGAAAATTAAGGACATTTTTTTGTTTGTTTTGGGTTTTTTCTTTTTGGTACAGGGATTGAATCCATGGGCACTTAACCACTGAATCACACCCCCAACTCTTTTTAAAATATTTTATTTAGAGACAGGGTCTCACTGAGTTGCTCAGGGCCTCACTAAGTTGCTGAGGCTGGCTTTGAACTTGCAATCCTCCTGCCTCAGCCTCCCGAGCCACTGAGATTACAGGTGTGTATCACCCGTGCCCAGCTGAAAATCAAGTTTTAACAATAACAACGCTATAAAAAATGTTACCTTCTTGATGGTAGGATCTCAGGATTCCAATCAGGATATCTATTTTGAAAATAAATAGTATTAATAGACATTTAAAATAAGATTATATGCCTCAATTAATCTTTATTTGTAATATCTGAAGACTGTTCAAAAATCTAAGTTTACATCGTGATTAATAATATTTTAAATATGAAAAATTTCTTAGAAATAAAATATTTTGGGTGTCTAATTCAATAAATAAGGTATTGTGCTAATATGTATATCAGAGAAACTTATTCCCCATAATTTAAAGGCCTCAAACTCTAAATAAAATGGGCAACACATGCAAAAAGTATTTAGAGGCACAGAAGAGGTATAAGATATGAGTTTAGGAAGGGTTAAAAGAGAGAAGACATTTTAGTTACTTTACAGAACTCTCCAGGACTCCATGCTTATCATATTCTACATGATATCTCTCAGAATACAATATGAACAATGAGAGATGGTACAACTTGAAGATATTCATCTATTAAGAACAATCAGGAGAGAATTCACAGAAAGGTTACTTTGTGGATAGCACTTAAAAAAGTCTATCAACAGGTATGGATTAGGTTTGATTTCAAATACAAGCAATACATAAGTGAAGGACTGGAGGCAAAACATAGGTGTTCTATTCCACTGACTGGTCAGCTACAGCATAGGAATGATGAAAAGAAATTATAAAGGACAAAACCTGGAAAGGCTACCTCAGGGAGAGACAACTTATGAAAGGCCTTGAAATCAAGTAATGAGGTTGTACACAAATAAAAGGGAAAAACTCATGAACATTTCTAAGCAAGAATATCAAATAAATGTTTTTAAAACAATTATACATGAATCTCTAGAATTAAGCAAAAAGATGAGAACTGAAATGTTTAGCAATGAGGCATATAAAAGCCACAGCTGTAGTCTTGAGAGTGAGACTAACACAGGGTGGACACAGAAATAGGAGGAGTGAGAACAAAATCTATGAACAATACTTAAGCAAAGAAAAAACAATGAAAGATTAAGGAGTACTCATAAAAAAAATGAGTAAGATCACAGAAGCCATCTTCACTCTTAACTTTTCTTTTCATTTCTTTCTTTCTTTTTTTTCTTTTTGTGGTACTGGGGATTCAGGGCACTCAACCACTAAGCTATACCTCCAGCCCTTTTTATTTTATTTGGAGATAGGGTCTCACTAAGTTGCCCAAGCTAGCCTTGAACTTGTGATTCTCCTGCCTTGGCCTCCTGAGTTGCTCGAATTACAAGTGTGTGTAATGTTTTAAAAATTATTTTAAAACTTTTCTAGAGAATCTGGACACTAATAGGTAGCTGGACATAGTAATTATCTTAAGTCACTAATATTCAAGAATATAATTTCAGTAGTAAGACAAAAGTCAGGTAATGGAGGTATAGCAGATTGTTTTAGTAATTCACCTAGCAGAAAAATAAAGTTAGATCAAAACTTAAGAGGTAAAGTAGTTCTTATTTGTTGCTATTATTAATGAGTTAACAATAATTCTCAACTCCTTTTTCTCTTGCCTGCTTTCACTACAAAAACTAAAGCAGTGTTATATTTGCTCTCTTAGCCTATCCAGAAGATAAACAGTGACACGTTCTAATCAATGAAACATAGGTGGCAAAATGACAGAAAATTCTGAGAAAGCTTCTGCCCCCTACTTCTTGCAGCAACATGCGAGAAACTATGAGGTGAGAAACTATGAGGACAAAAAGTTAACTTCAATCCAATCTAATGTTAATAATTTCCAATACAAAAGAATCCTTTTATCTACTCCCACATTTTCATTTTTCTGTACCTTTCAAGAAGATAATTTCTAGTCTTAGACTACAAGGTTTACAAAGAAACCTTTGTAATCGAACAAAACTAGATTTTTCAATGTAGGTGCTGTCATTTAATGGCTATGTAACTTAAAGTCGGTTACTTGATATGTGTAATCCTTAGTTTTCTCACAAACTGAAATATAAGCTGGTTGAAAATACATAGAAATTATTATTAAATTTCTAGAGCTCTACAATTTATGGTTCATAAGAGCTAGAGAACTATTACTGAAGAATCAGTAACAGGGCTGGGGCTATAGCTCAGTGGTAGAGTGCTTGCTTAGCATGGGTGAGGCACTGGGTTCAATCCTCAATACCACATAAAAATAAATAAATAAAATAAAGTTACTGTGTCCCTCTACCAAAAAAAAAAGGAGTCAGTAATACTGTTTTAGACCTTTACTAGCTTGCCAATTAAAACAAATGCTCTTATCTCCAAAGCTCAAAGCAAAAAGATAAAGTATAACGTACTAAAAGTAGAGTTGGATCACCCAATATCTGCCTAATTAGTAAAAAGTATGTTTTAAAAGCATGATACACCTAATGAAGTAGCATAACATAATGATCAAGAGCAAGAAGCTAACTAAGACTATGTCCCAATGTGATGCAATAAATACATCACCTATGAAGTATCAGTGACATAACTGTTCAACCTAAATTTAATGATGAGGAAGCAAACAGCATGGAAGACATTCCATAAGACACTGTTCCTAAACTCTTCAAAAAAGCCAACACTGGCCAGGCGTGGTGGTATAATCCCAGCAACTGGAGGTGGGGAGGTTGCTGAGGCAGGAGGATTCCAAGTATGAGGCCAGTCTCAAATTTAGTAAGATCCTATCTCAAAATAAAAAGAACTGCAGGTATAGCTCAGTGGTAAAACACCCCTGGTTAAATCTTCAGTATTATTTTTTAAAAAATCAATGTAAACATACTCTCCAAAGAGAAGAAGGAAAGAAAGGAAGGAAGGAGAGAAAGAAAAGAAAAAGGAAAAAGATAGGGAGACAGGCACAGAGAATGCTACTAAAGCAGTATTTTTCACCTCCATATCTAGTAGGGGAAATCTTCAGAGGTGCCCTGTCTTAAATAAGGAACAAAGTAGAATGGAACTAATATTCATTCCTTACTTAAAATTTATTCTGAAAACAGATTCTGAGCCAGAGAGCTTTTAGACTGGAAATTAAATACTGATATATGGCTTGGATTAGTTTTTATTTATTTAACCCTTGAGAAAGGGGGGAGATAATAGAAGGGAATGATATCTGCTCTGAAATAATAAACCATTCAGGGAAGGCAAGCCAGCAAAGCAAAAAAACCAAAGATATAAAAAAATCTACCTACTGGGAATTAAGTTAGGAAGGAGTTGAGTCAGAGGAAAGGATCAGGGGCTGGGGATGTGGCTCAAGCGGTAGCACGCTCGCCTGGCGTGCGTGCGGCCGGGTTCGATCCTCAGCACCACATACAAACAAAGATGTTGTGTCCACCGAAAACTAAGAAACAAATACTAAAAAATTCTCTCTCTCTCTCTCATCTCATCTCTCTCTCTTAAAACAAACAAACAAACAAAAAAACCCCAGAGGAAAGGATCATGCTGAATTCTCTCTTTTTGGAAAAATATTAAATATACTGCTACAAAATTAGTATTTTAATAGGCAATAATCTTTAAAAATATTTTCTACAAAGTATCATACTAAGGGTATTTAACAGTAATGTCTGAACATATTTTGCAAATTCAACATTTATGAAAATAAAGATAAAAATGTTCTTACTGTTGACGCAACTGTCGACAACTCTCAATATGAGTAGATGTGTTTTGATGCTGAATCCAATCCTATTGTAAAAGGAGAAAAGTACTGAAATTAGAATATTCCTCTTGTTGACCAATGAATTAGATTTATCTTTTAAATGACAAAGGATTTTAAAACAAATCTAATTATAAACAGCATTTGGCCACTGAATAAAATTTTCACAAACAAAACTTAAAGGTGTCCAAATGCCCTTGAAACACCATACCTCATTGATCCCATTTAAAAATGTTTTAGTATAAAAAAAGTTCAAAAAAAATTATACCCATGGATGCCCATTTTGAAATCAATACATATTAACACTTGGAGAAAATAAAAGCATAGATCATAAAATAACTCATTTTGAGTATAAAAAAATTCAGAGAACAAAAACTATAAATAAGGTGCAAGTGATTATCTACAAAACAGCATCTTCAAAATATAGTATCTGAATGACTTATACCTCATGCTAACATCATCAACAACCAAATACTACTAGGCCAGTACCATTCCAAACAAGGTACTCACTATATTGAGAAATGATAAAGATTAGTGAAAATATGAAAAACTGATAATAAAATCTAATTTATTTTCAAGATTAAAGGAAAGTGACGCCATTTTAAAGACAGTATCCCTTACATATTGAGCTTTACAATTAACAAAATGCTTTCTTATACATTACTTCATTTACAAATAAATCTGCCCTAAAATTACAATCTATAACCATAAATAGCTCCTGAAAGATACATCTGATTTTAAAACAAAAACAAAAACCAATACAGTTTTTAAAGATACAGTCTCCAAAGTGAAACAATCAGTTAAAAGCAACATGTATATTACTCAATGTTTTATTGTTCCTCCACCATTTGGAAAGGCAAAAAAACCTTAATAAACAGTTCTGAATTTTACAACTTCCCTTGAGGAAAATCTTGTTTCCATTTCAAAAACATTTTAGTTTAGGTCATTTCTAAAAGACAAACTAGATGTTTCCATAGTTAAAACAACATTTGACACTAATTTTGAACTCTGCCTTGGCAAGAACTATCTGAAATACTTAACAAATTATGACAAAATCTGAACTGTTTCATTAAGCCCCAAGGTTTGATTGTGGGCTGCAAAAAGGAAATATTTGCATATCCTCTTCAGTAATACAAACAGAAAGCTAAAAAAGATTAGCAGTTAAGAGTCTCTAGTAGTAATACTAAACCCACATCTTTGATATTAATTGGACATTATTTACACCATACAGACACACTGGCAGTCAGGGAGTTTGGCTTGATTTATTTGGACCATAAAGTATTTTATTTAAATAATTTACCAACACTTATAAATTCAGAGATTTTTATCCCCAAATCCAATTTCTAGTTTTTCTTGAAGAAATATTAAGATATCACAATACTTAAATACATATTCTCATAGCAACTATCAGCTGAAGGTGATAGCTGCCCTATTTATTTAAGGTATGTGCTCTTCAATTCAATACACTCACCTATACAAACACTGCTGTCTTCTAACAGGCTTACTTTACCTACTGACATTACTTACTTTAAGCTCAGTAAATATACATATGTCATCCCAATTTCTAGATTCCCTAGTAATAATACCCAGATCAGATAACTGGTTCAAAAGCAACAGTGCCTTTCCAGGGAAAACAGGGATAATACCTACCAAAGCAGAAAATCCTGCAAGGACTGTAGACTGGACAGGATCAGAATGGAACTGTAAAATACAGACCCCTATCAACACTTGCTCTCTAACCTCCAACTACCTTGAAAAATTCTCAGGTTGATCTTGAAGCAAATTATTTCAGTCAAAAAGACAATTTTCTAAACCAAGGAAAGCCCCTCTTAAACCCAACCCATAATTTAGAAAGGAAACACTTCACAATCTACTGTTGCATTCTCAAAGTATCTCTTTATGCTATAATTTAAAAGACTCAAGGATGGGTAGAAAAGAATTGTTGGATTTACTCAGCAGGAAAAAGCTTGCAGTTGGTAATTCATATTTACTGGCTATATATTTATAATGTCATATATATGCACATTTATGAGGCAGTAAAATTACATCAGAAAAACAAGAGTTAGTTGTATCATCTAAGTTCATGTTCGCATACTATCATTTGTCCATTCAGTGGTGGAATTCATTACTTCAATGAGCTTCAATTTGTTGTGCTATTAGAAGTTGGGTTTTTATTTTAAAAGGCACTCTATAAGCTCTAATGATCACTAAGTGATTTTCTCTCCTCTTAAATTTTTATCTTATGAACCCAGGCTTCCACCATTTTACACTTGAATAATAAAGGAAGCCTCCAATTACATGTCCTACTCCTCATTCCCATCTCATTTTCATTCACCTGCACACTTCAGTCAAATCTCCTATACACTTTCAACATGCCCATTCACGTATCGAGAAATTAAACTAACTTCCTAATGCCTCCCAATTTTAAAATCTAAACTCCTTAGGATAGCTTTTCAAGACTCCTTCTACTTATTTTTAGCATGCTCATCACTCTTTCCCAAATGCCACCTACTGCATTGCAATCGATGTATTCTTCTCTCAGACTTTTGCCTATCCACATATTGATCCCACCTGGAATGTCATCTCTCCTCCCTTTCAGATAGGTATATCTAAAGCCCACACATCATGTGAACTACTCCACGAAGTCTTCATTCTTGAGACATTCTAGTCTAGACTTACTTAGTAACTTTGAATCCACTAGTCTTATCTAACTAGACTACAAAAGTCTTTTGATGCCAGGAAGTGTATTTATACTTTTTAATTACATACTGGGTAGACATACAATAGGTATTGGTCAAGTGATAATGCTGGCCTGACTGATACAAATCTGAACAAGATAAAAATACTAAGTATCTTTCCCCTCCATCACAGGAAAACAAGTTAAATAAATCACCAAACCATTTTTTTCCTTTTCCTAATTTTTAAAAAGTCTTTTGATGCATAATTTTTCCTCCTCAGTGCAACTGTATGAATTGTTTGAAAACATCTAAATTTAATACTGTTCCTCATTTCTGCCCTGGCACCTACAGAACAATGTACAAAACTGGTATCAGTAAATATACATTGAAAAAGTGTGTATACCTTTTCTAGTCTACAGAACAAAAATTAAAACTTTAATTTCTTTATGTGAAGATATATTTTCTTCAATTGAATATTACTAATTAAAAGTTCAAAATTATGTGGTATGCCCAGATACAGTAATACAAAGAGCTTCTAACACTGAGTCCAGCATTACTTACAGTTTACAACAAAGCACTGTGAATTATTCTGAGGTTTTTCAAGGTAAAGACTTTTTTATCACTTTTGATGAAATATGGCCAACTATTTATTATTTTATTAGATTTCAATAATTCTGGTTAAAATGAATAGAATGCTGGTTTTTTGTTTGTTTTTTAAAATTTTTTTCTCCTCCTGGATACTGGGGATTGAACTCAAAGCCCTGTGCATGCTAAACAAATGGTCCACCACTGAGCTACACTCCCAGCCCAGAATGTTGTTTTCTTTGGCTGGCATTAACTTTAAATAACAAGAGCAACAGATCTAGGTATCAGATTCTTGTTGAGTGGATAAATGAGGGAAAAAAGGGTAGCAAAAACCAAACAAACAAAAAAAAGGATAATTAACACCCTCAGATTTTTAAGCTTCTTCAAAGAACACACCAATTTAAGGCTAAGGCCTTGAATCAGTTTCTTCCTATGGGAAACATCTCCTACTCGGCATTTGCCATCTAAATCTACAAATTACAATAGTAAACAGAAAAACCCGTGGTTCTAAACATATAATAAAACTTACTTGGAAATTCCTGCTCAAATCTACCAATAATTACTATTAATAATATAGTCTACATGGTATTACTCTTCAGCATCTCAGCAAAAAACTTCCTTCTAACTATATTAACCAATAAAGTTACCTTAAGCCTATTTTAGAAACTATCTGCTAAACCTACAGCTGGTCCCATAATAATTAATGCATCTTGATTCATTTTACTATTACATTATTTTACAAAGCCCCTTCTCAATACTAAAATAATGATAAGAAAATAAATTATCAGTGGTCCATGTAAAAATCAGAATGCATTTAAATCAACCTTAAATGTTGTCTCTTCAAAGTATGCAGCAGAAATGATTTACCAAGTTTTTATATTTTATGCTAAAAGATCTTATTTAAACACAACTCATGTGACATCATGTTATAAGTACACAGTTTATGTTATATAAATTTTGTGTTGGATAAATGGGATAACTGAAAGTTCAAAATAAATGGACAAACTATGTGGTACGCCCAGTAACAGGTGTGTAGAACATTCAATTCAGTACTAAAGCCAGCAGTATATAAGATTACAACTAAAAGCACTGATTTTTGCAATCAAAATCAGTTTCTGTAATTTCCTTAATGCCTATTAACACGAGCATACACATCAGAATTTAGAGAAAACTTGGGCGCTGAGCATCATTATACAGTGATCTTTAAAAACACTCACCTTCAAATGACTACATTCTACGTTACACAGAGAACACAAATGTGGAAATATTCTTGGAGATGCTGCATAATAATCATTCATCATAGAAGGAGTTGGAAGTCTCTTCATCTTCTGGACATCAGCATGTGAAAACTTTGGTAGCCATGATGCTTTCACAATCCCAAAGGGAGATTGAATGGGAATGTCAGTCTCTGATTGATAATTCTTTTTACTTCCTCTCGATCCAACATGTACATTAGATGAATTAATCACAGGTTTATGTGGGATCCGCTCTTGCTGGTTTACAGCTGAAATTAATTCAGATGAAAAAGGTTGTTGGTTCATAGATGGAGGAATCAGAGACTGACTCATTGTCTGACTAACTGTTTGGCTAATGGATTGGCTGATGGATTTTACAGGTTCAAGGACTGACTGTCCTGAAATGTGTAAGCCTGACATCTTGGTTCCACTCTCAACTGGGAAAAAGGACTGATTATTTGAGGACTCACTGGGGAAGTCCATTGGGCGAAACACTTCTTCAACAGGAAACATAGTATTACATATCATATTTGGAGTAGGAACAGATGCAGAAATGCTCTGCTGTGACCGAAATTCATTCTTGACCTCATCGGTTGGAATTTCAGGATCATAAATACGTACTTCAAGTGGATCTTCTGTGTAGCCGTATTTGCTTGCATGCCCATAATCAATCACATTACTTGAAACTGCTTCACTACCAAGTGCTTCTTTATTTCTGTTCTGAGAAGGTAAATTCGGTAATCGGCGCCCCATTTTTCTCATTCTTATATCCCTCAAAATCAATGGCATATTTTCAGGAGTTAGCTGTTCATCAGGATAGCGACTAAGTTCTTCTAGATCTTCATTAGACAATCCAAAACTTGCTAAGATACTTGAGGCACTCTCTTTTGTATAGCGGCTCTGTACTTTAGGACTCTGCCCTGTAACCTGTGTGATAGAACTCTGTTTCACTCCCACTGATGCAGACATATGAGGCTCATCATCCCACCGGCTACCATGAGGCTTCCCCTTCTTTTGTTGTGCTTCATGAAAATCCAACTTTTCTTTGGTCAATCTTGGATCAGTTCGGTGTTGAGTTACCTGAACACTCATTCTCTGTGGTCCCATGTTCTGATAAGATTCATGGCCAGCAAATCTGTGTGGGATTCCACGGGCTCTCCCTGCTGGGTAAAATCTTGGAAGACCCATAGATCCAGGCCTCATAAATGGTCCTGGAGGCCTCATCCCAGAAGGGTTAGGTGCTCGTGGCCTTTGAAGTGGAAAGTTTCCTCGAGGATTAAACCTGGGTCTCGACATGGCTACTTTCAAGAATGCCTGATTTAATAAAGTGTAAGGTGGTGTTGAACCATGTGAGGCAACGGCATTCAGCTGCTGAAGCGCCAACTGAGTCTTAATCTGAGCAAAGTGCAAAGGAGATGGGCCCAACAGAAGTGGGTTTGCAATGCCCAGGCTCAAGGAATTCACAAGTGGTGCGAAATTTTCCAAGAAATACACAAAGCTGAAAGTTAAAACACAAATATTAGATCATTTTAACTCAAACTACTTCATGAAGTGGGTTCTACAGCCAGTGTAAAACATTTTGAAATAAAGCCATGAAACCATTCTGCATTTCATATATTTTTAGAGTAAAGGCTTACAAGAATTTAAAATTTTTTCCTGAAACCTTCTCTTTTCTTCTTTCCTAAATCCAGAACACAAACCCCAAACCTCAAGCCAGAGTTCCTGTATGTGATGCACTGTTTGCTAGGTGCTGTATTTATAGGTTCTTTTAAATAATCTTGAAAAACACAAAGTATTTATTTCATGTTTTAATGCTGGAAAAAGAAGATGAATGCATTAAAATACTTAGAAATGTACACATGCTTAATATGCATGAATCATACATATAAACAATGAAAGTAACAATGGTTAACCTTAAACTTCTGGTAAGACTCATTTCTGTTAAGACACATTCTTCCTTGGAACCAGCTTTCACACTTAATAAATTCTACAAAGCAATTTAACTGCTATTAAACAGTTTCTTATAAGGTAAAACTTTGCTGTCAATAACGAATTCAGAGTCTAACAAAGCAGATGCAAGAGCACGAAACTGGTTATAACAGACAAGATAATATGTAACAAAACTAGTCACCCTACTTTTTAATTTCTTTTTTTTTCTTAATATTTATTTTTTAGCTCTAGGTGGACACAATATCTTTATTTTACATTTATGTGGTTCTGAGGATCGAACCCAGTGCCTCATGCATGCTAGGCGAGCACTCTACCACTGAGCCACAACCCCAGCCCCTACTTTTGAATTTCCTCAACAGCGAGTTTAGATATATTAGTAATAACAATGATAAACTTTATAGAGCATTGTCCATGTGTCATTTACAGTTCTAAGCACATTGTGTGGACTGTTAGTTCTCACACTCCCTGAGATATGTATAGTTTTATAACAGATACTAAGGCATAGAGAAGTTAAGAAGCACACACTTGCTTATGTCCATGTTTGCATTCAATGTAATTTAACCCCATAATCCATACTCTTAACTAACAGATGTGAGCAAGACAATCCTGCAATCCCCAGACATGTATTAGTTAAAACTGGCTGCTGACCAGCCCATCAGAAGTGCTATGTTACTCCTACTTCTGAGAGAAATAGTACTTTAGTTATCGTTCAGGACCAAGGTCAGCAGCCACATAACTTGCCTTCCCTCTTCCAGTTTTTTGTTTATTGCTGCTGTTTAAAGCATACATTATGCCTGGGCTATCCATCAATTGCCTACTTGTATACTTGTATACCCAAAGTGTACTGTGAAGTCTTGTGGCATCTACGTCTACCAATGGGAATCCAAGTTGTGGATTCTATTTACTGATCACTGATTTCAGGTTCAAGCTACAATTCCACTCATAATTATATATACGTTTTTCTTTATATTTAATGTTAGTAAGTAAACTAACTTTGCGTACTTTATACACAATGTTAGTAAAATGCTAATTTTTCTGGGAAATTCTCCCTTCCAATCATTTTGCACACTGCCAACACATTCAATCTTTGCAACAGGACATTTTTACTACATTGCTCTTGTTCAAAAAACCCAAGAGTTTCTCTTTCTCATTCTTTATTTCATTCCAAGGTCCAACCAATCTAGTCAATCTCTACCTTTCTAATTTTACTGGATACTTACTCTAGCTAGACCTTTGCCTCTATTCTTTTCCCATCTCCCTATCAAAACAAACAACATAACCTTGCCCTAGACACTGATTTGACTTTACTCACTTTCAAAGTCAGTATCCATCAAATTTTTGTTGACCATCAATGCCAATAATTAAGAAAGGTTTATTAATTATTGCTTAATTATTGCTTCTACCATTTTTTTACTTATACCTTTTACTAGCTAATGTTTTTGTACTCACATGCATAATCTTTTCCAACAATTTAGAGTCAACTGAAGCTTATCATTAAGACTTATCTCCCAAGCATATAAACCCTATTGCTACTCACAAGACCCTCAAATATTTGTTAAACTATCTGAACTATCACCTCCAAAGTCCTCATTATTTACAAAGATTATTAATTTTCAAGTTAGAGTAAAACACTAAAATAAGACAAGTTACATAAGCTTCAAATTCACCAGACATAAGCAGACAAAGCTTATTGAACACTGATACCCAAATTCAATGTAAAAAAAAAAAAAAAAAAAAATTCCCACTGATAACAAAATCCAGGTTTTTAAACAATCACAAGTCATATGAAACTGTACCTACCACCTTCTACATAATAAAATTACTTCTAAGAACAATTTTGTTTTTAACTCAATCCTTTAAAACAATGATTGCTTTGGAAATCAGTCTGTCATCTAGTTACTCAAACACTTTCTGCACAATTTTCTCCACTTGCTGATGATTCCTCTTAGAACTTCAGGACCACAAGCCCTTCTAAATATTGTTTCTCCTCCAAAACAAGACACAAATGGCAAAGATTTCAATCACAGCCATCTAATTACTATATGTAATTATGAACAAATACCAGTTGGATATAACTATACTTTATGTTCCTTAAAAGCAAAAACTTACTTATGTATTTTCTAGATGTTAAAAGTTATACATTTACAGGATTTAAGAGAGCAGTCTTTTATTTACAAACTATTCTGTAGAAACCTCTCATTAAGAATTACGTTATACCATAACAAAGAAAACAACTCCTCTGCCTTGTAAGAATGATACTGGATGAAACCAGAAAACAATGTTACAAGAAACAGGAACCAAAGACAAGGATATATTTGTCATTAACACCTGGAAAACAACAAAACAAATTATGACAGACATCTAACCCCAGGAGCCCTAGTCCTAAAGAGTTCACCCAGAGGAATTTACAGATAGCCAACTTATGAAATCATTAAACCAAGTTGAGATCTGAGCTATGGATTATTAACTCCTTTGAAAATGACTGCAATTAAACAGTATTAATCCTTTAAAACTTTTATTCCTATAATATTATATATGCTTGTTATAGAAAATTAAAAGCAACAAAATCTTTCAGTAAAACCCAAAACTGGTCACAGTGGCATCTGTCTATAGGACCAACAACTACACAGGAGGCTAGCAGGAACATCTTGAGCCCAGGAATTTGAGGCCAGCCTGGGCAACACAGAAATACTCCCTTTCAAAAATAAATAAAACCATCACCTAGAGTAAACTAATATTCTGATACAATTCTTCTAGTCTTGCATATGCATATGCACATGTGATAGAGAAGAGTTTAAGAACAGTTTATGCTAAACACAATTTTACAACTCAGAAGTATGCTGTTTTCTTTCTTATTTATTTTGTGATATTGAGGATAAAACCCAGGAACTAGAACATGATAGACCAGTACTCTACCAATGAGCTATATATCCCCAGCCTATATATTATTTTTAATTGACATTTTATTTTTCCTATATTATTTTTCAAAAACAGGCTATTTAATGATCACAAAACATTTATTTTGACAAATAGCAGCTAAAAACTCTCAAGAACGCTCTTAACTACCACTCTAAAATAAGAATTCAGTATGTCAATCATAAAAATTCTTTTGGAACCATGTAGCAGAAGCTGGGTTCTTCAGGGAAGCATGAAGAAATGACCTGACATATTAAAAAAAGATATCACCATTAAATCCCGTGAGGAATTTCTGAGATTTCTACTATTATGGACAATCAACAACTGTCTATTATTTTGATACTGTCTTTCAGAGGAAAGGAAGCCCTAAATTTTTTTAGAGGTATTAAAAGACCTAAAAACTTTTTAGAATCCAAAAGCAGCATCAAAAAATTAGCCGATGGCTCCCCCAGATTTATAATAAAAAGATTTACATAAAAATCTCATACTTGAACTTTGTAGCACTTCATGGTTTACAAACACTTTAATACCATTAAATTATCTCATTTGAACTTCATAACCAAGAGCAAACAAATCCCAGTGTTTGTAAACTGTACAGATTAAGTGAAGCCTTAGAACACAGCAAGGAAACAAGACCATAACAGAATCTACATCTCTCCTTGGTGTTCTTTTCATCCTGTTATCTTAATTGTAAATTTATTCTATAGCTTTCTTTTTTCTAATTATTAAAATAATTCATGTTCTTTACCTGTCTTACCTCCTTACCAAAAAGAAAAAAGTGGGGGGACCATCTTTATGACATGCTGACATGCAGAAAAGTTTTCCACCAATTTACTATAAAGGAAAGAATAGTATTTTAAAATTATTTTTCTAGGTATTCACCCACATACCTCATTTGAAGCCACTTTGTCAGAGCACTGTCTCAGAATATTATACATTTGCTTTGGCACTTAAGAATGCAGTTATAAAAAAAAAAAAAAAAGAATGCAGTTATTATAATAGCTAGTTAATACAGGAGTCCAGCTGTTCATTCTGTGCTTTTCTCAGTTAAACTACACTCTAATTTCCCTTACCATGTAGAGCTATACCCATTCAGTCAATTCTTTTCTACCATTATTTTGTTCCCTTATGTTAAGATACACATGCCATAATTCTGAAGGTGCCAAGACGGTGAATAGAGAATATCATGTTGGGCATTAAAATGCTAAAACATGGTGCTTTCAAAGAAGCAGTAAAAGAAAGCAAAAACAATTAAAAACTTAAGTTGGCATCAGGAAGAGCATCACAAACTGCACTGCTACCTGAAAGGATGTATAAACATCATGAGTTCAAAATTGAAGAACAAGGGAAGATCCATTGTCAAAGCACAATGTTAAGAACAGATCACCATGAGAACCAGGCACTAACAACCCCATATACCAATAATTTAATATTGTTATTATTTCCATAAAAATACATGAGCTAACATTTATTTTTATTTTTTAGGAGCATGTACACTGCATACATAAATGGGTCTCTAGACCACAAATGTTTTCATCGTAAATGTTGCTCCCTGAGCATATATATGCATTGGTGATACTACCTTAACTCTCCTAAAAAGCATAATAGATTATTTCAAAAGAAACCACCTGA